AGGGGGTCGCTCGCGCGAGCGGCACGCGTTCATCGGCGAGCGACTAGTGCGAGTAGCGAGTCGCTCCGGTTTCCAGGGTCAGCGTCGCGCGCCGCCGTTGCCGCTTCTCATACATAAATTCGAATATCTTATTCCTCTCGTACTTCATTTTCCTATTTCTCCTACATTATTTGGATTGCATTTTTCAAAAAGGAACCACTAGCATTGCAATGATGCTAAGATTGTGCAACTTCATCTTTTGCAATAAAATTGCGGAAATCGTGAAAAACTATGAAATTTAGATAGCAATTTTTGTCTTATATTTATAGTTTTTAGCGAGTAAAATAGAAACTATGAATGGATAATCGGGTTTTTCCTCCAAGACAAAAGAAGTTGCACAATCTTGGCAACATTGCAATGCTAGTGGTTCCTTTTTGCAAAATGCAATCCATTTCTTTTCTTCTTCTCATTTTCTCTTATTCCTCCTCTTCTAATTATTTTCTACTTCCTCCTCTTCTTCTTTCTGTTCTTCTTCTATTTCTTCTTGTGCATCTTCTTCCTTTTATTACTGTTCTTATTTTTATTCTTCCTCCTCTGCTTCTTCTTCTTCTTACTCTTCTTCCTCTTCTTCTTCTTATTCTTACTGTTCTTCCTCCTCTTCTTCTTCTTCTCACTGATCTTCTTTTTTAACTTACTGTTCTTCTTCTTACTGTTTTTCTTCTTCTTATCGTCGTCGTTGTTGTTATTCTTTTTCTTCTTCCTCCTCTTCTTCTTACTGTTCTTCTTCTTCTTCCTCTTACTGTTTTTCTTTTTCTTCTTCTACTTTTTCTTGATTTTACCCACGGAGGTTGGTGCTTTCATAGATGAGCCCAAAATAGTAGTTCCTTGCTACAAAATGCGTTCCAATTGACGACTCGGTGAACACGAGAAATGTCGATCGCAAGAGACTCTTAGACGCTGGTTCGGTTTCTGTTTACATTACAGCCACGGGGCAGCGATATACGTCGAATGACGCAGCTACTGAATCAGTCAAAAGCGAAAACTGGATCCAGTCGGGACTGAATTATTGATCAAGCGAAAATCGCATTCTTGCCGAATCACGAAAATCCGCGATCCGCGCGGAAGTCGGGCTCGTAGTCGCGAATATTAAATTTTCGCGACGCCTTCCTCGAGTTAAGAACCACCCGGGACGGTCTTATTTTGACTGCATTCACACGGGGAGAAGCTGATTTTTCGGACACGTTTTTTAAAGCGCCTATCTGTCGACGAGGATTAACGCCTCGTACGTTGTTTCCGAATTGGCCCAAAAGCTAAGTTCATGTTCGCATAATGCCTAAATCTCATGTTGTAGGTATACGAAGAGCTGAATGTCCGGGAGGTATCGGTCTTCTGTTGAGTGGTGCACGTGACGCGGGAAATTGAGGGCACTGATGAGGATAGGAGCTCAGCAGTTATCAATTGGACGAAATTGTGCTATATGGAACTACAATTTCCGGTCTATCGGGAAAAAAACTATACGTGTATTGGGGAACTAATGATACTTACGTTGTTTCTTAATTGATATAGGAATAGTAGTTCTCAATTGCCAAATTCATAGCGTGATTCCGGTTTGATGCAGTCAAATCAGGAATTCATCCCTGGTACATTCGGCAAGCCTAGAATTTGACTTCATTTTTCATTTAGGAACTACAATATTTCTGGCTCATCTCGCCCGTAAAAATACTTAAGTGCATAAAGAAACTAATGGCACACATGTTGTTTATGAACTGAGCCAGTAACTGTAGTTCCGAATTGCAAAGTGCAGTTCAATTTCTCCCTCTCTTGCTGATAACTATGATTCTTCGGTCGAACTTCCAAAGCTCCCTTGCAACTAATCATTGAAGTTTGCGTTTGAGGGAGGTGTTATTTTCGAGAAAAACTGAAATATTATGTTGATTATTCGCAGTCGGGAATTATTTTGGAGGGAAACGCAGGAAAATGAAATTCCTGAATTGCAATTTATAGACTGAGATTAATGAGTGTTATGCAAATCATGTTCAAAATTAGTCTCGGTTTATTGATAGCTCATCGCGTTCTACGAATAAATCTCTAAATTTATGCTGCGTGCGTGGTTTAATTATTCCCAACTCCGTCGAACATGGAAGTATTTTTACTTTGCGTTCAATTCTTTGACAGTTGCTTTAATGGGCAAAAACTCTTGGAGCTGACCTGCTCAGTGCTCACAGCCAGATGAACTCTGTTTTTTTTCCTGCTACATCGTGTTTTGAATTGTACGATCTCCCTCCGTTTTTTTCAAAATAAAAACAATAGAAATAAACTGGAAAAAAATCACTTATTTAAAAATGTTTTAGTGTGTACAATAAAAACTGTTTTAACCCGAAGTTTTTCGTGCAAAATTGAAGTTTTTACAGTTTAAATCAAATTGGCTTCTTCGTTCGAAAATTCCTCTGTAAATTTCGGAGGGTATGGATTCGACCGACATGAATCGATCGAAAAATAAAAACGTGAACCGATCGACATCGATTCGCTAGAAAAAATTCGATCGATTCACGGATTTTTTGGTTGATTCACGTTTGTATTTTACAATCGATTCATGCCGATCGAATCGATACCGACTTTTTAGTAATTTGTCGATCGAATCGGTGTCGATCGGTCCAAGCTTTTACTTTTCGATAGATTCATGTCGATCGAATCAATACCCTCCTTACCGACATCCATCTCTCTCCACCCGAGAGGGAAGCCAAAGCAAGAGTACCCTCATGAGGAGAGTACGGATTTACCGGTAATATTGAAGGTTAGATCATAAAGCTTTTAGGAGGGCCCAACAGAGCTGCCAACATATGAATTCAAACTATCTAGAACGATGTATTATTGCAATTATTACGACCCGTTGTTTCTTAAGCACGTATTTGACCTAGTTTTTTGCATATACTTTGCGAAAAAACGGTTATCTATGAATATTTTTGGCTCCCTCGATCTGATGGTAAAATCTGAAGCTTGGCAGCGGTATTTTTATTGAGTTTTTCGTGTTGGAAGGTTGGCTGCCCTTTTGAGCCCTAAGAGCTCCATAATTCGATTTGTCCGTTCTCACCCCATATAGGTTCTCTGCCGTGCTAAGGAAGAACGCCTTATGAACTTTCGAGAGTTGCCAAATTTCCTTCGATAAAAGGTTCATTTTTCAGCAAAGTTATACATATTTTCCCTTTATATTTTCAGAATCTTTACGTGAAATTGCGAACTAAATTATCTGAAAAAATTGGAGGAAAATATTCATAAATTTACTGGGAAATTCGCGTTTTATCAGGGGAAATTTGGCAACGCCTGGAAGTTCATACGGCGTTTTTCCTTAGCACGGCAGTAATTCCAGCTCGAGCTAATCCGGCGGAACGCGAACGGTGCCCGATCTGGCGACAGCGCCATCTGTCGGCGGCGGATCTAGTTAATGCGTGAAACTGGAATGGAGTCGGATCGTGAGAGCGTCGTACGAGGCAACGGCGGATCCCGATTGGTTGACCGGAGGATTTGCTCCCCCGACCAGAAATACGAGATCCAGACCCCCCCCCTCCTCCCCCTAACTTCCGTTCATTATCTCGGGGGTCCGGGTGCGGGTGGTGCTAGTGCCCTCGCTCGCATTTTGTAGCGCTCGTTTGCCCGCTCCACTTTTCGGTTCTCGCTAAAATTCTCATTTTTTCTCGCGCCGATCAATCATTGCTCTGTCGATTCGGATATTTGGTTTTTTCTGCCTCCTAGAAGAAGAAAGAAATGCACCTGAGATCAGAGTTTTCGCCCGTTTTGAAAACAAGGAAAGTCAGGAAAAATTAAGGGATTTATAGCGACCAGGAAAAGTCGAAGAATCGTAGGAAAATCGTCGTCTGATAGCGAATTTATCCGGTGACATTCGAGAGAGCGCGATCAACCTCCGAATGCCTTTTTCCTTGATTGTAATCTTTAAAAGTGGAAGTTTCGTTCTAAGTTTAGGAAAATTTAGCGTAATTTATAAAAATAAATGTCGATAATTTTTTGGCAGGTCTTGGAAAGACAGGAAAAAATCCAGGGAAATGAGAAATTTTGGAGTCAAGGAAAAGGAAAAAAAGTCTAGGAAAAGTCAGGGAATGGAAAAATGAGGAAGTATCGCGGGAAATTCGGAGTGGCGTGATGAAAGTTTTGCTAACGATGCGATGTCGACGAGCACAGTAATTCTTGTGACGAAGCGCCTTCAAACCGTCGGGTAGGCAACAAAGCATCCATTAAGCGCGAATAGTTGCCTACCCGCAGATCAATCGTTCCGACCCCAATTGCTGATAGTTGAACATCCCTTCATTAGCTTGAACTAACGATTTCAGTAACATTCACGTTCCCTTTGTCTGTTGCCCATGGCTCAGCCTCTTGGATTAGAAAGTCATCTTAGTGGGCCTTAAGGTAAGAAAATGGTGATTGTTTAGCTCCTATTACAATTTCCCAACTCTTCTACTTCCCCCTCCATCTAAATATTACCATATCCATCTCATAAACAACCCTTTATCATTTCAGTTTTTCTGTAGTTGGCTGTAGGCCCCATAGGAATTGAAGCTATTATACCAACAGAATGAAGAAGGAGGATAAAAACACACGGAGAAAAAAGCTTGGTAGAATTTACCATTCCTTCACGCACATTCCTTTACTTTACACACCGTGAATTCAAAGTCGATTCTGTCAAAGGAATGGTTACCTGTACCAGTATAAAGTAACGTTTACCTTTCTTCTATCAGAATTGACGCTGAGTGAAATACAGCGTGAAGGAATGGTAAGTTCTACCAATCTTTTTTCTCGGCGCACATTCACGTCACAATATCCAGTCAAAATATATGATTTTTGCCCTCAACGATTGTTCTTTTTTGTTTTGTTTCTCGTCTCGAGCGATTGACCGAAGCGTGTCTATATATTATTTTTGCCCTCAACGATTGTCCTTTTTGGTTTTGTTTCTTGTCTCGAGCGATCGACCGAAGTGTGTCTAACAGTTGCGTTCTTTTGGGATGTTTCAGATAAGCTCCTAAGATGCCTGCCAGGTTCCCAGAGGTGGAAGTGCACCGGGATGAGTTCACTTCTTCGCAGCCGAAGTCCAACTCGATGACGAACGGAGGAAGCCCCGGCTGGAACTTGGACGACGACGTCGTCATCTCCGGCTTCTCCGGCCGGCTCCCGGAGTCCAACAACATCGAGGAGTTCAGGAAGCAGCTCTTCGACGGCATCGACCTCATCACCGACGACGAGCGACGATGGCCCTCCGGTAAGTCCCGCTCCATCGTCAACTCCAATACTGCCGTGCTAAGGAAAAACTAGAGTACCTGTATAGGGAGAGTACCGACAGATCTGAAACTCCGAAAGTCCATCAGGCCTTCACCGATGCCTCCGCGAATAAAGTTAGGGCCCAAAAGGGCAGCCAACCTATGAATTTCAATTATCCAGAGCGATTTACTGATACTATTGTTACGAACCGTCCTTTATTAAGCACGTGTTTGACTCAGTTTTTGCATAAATTTACTCAATTTCGCGGAAGAACGCTCATTTCTGTACATTCTTGGCCATCTTGGTTAGGATTGGAATCTGCAGACTGGCAGTGAAATTTTGTGCGTTAGAAGTTGGTTAGAAGGGTGGCTGCACTTTTGGGCCCTAAGCCCTCCATGAACCGATCTGTCGGTACTCTCCCTATACAGGTACTCCAGGAAAAACGCCGTATAAACCTTCGGGCGTTGCCAAATTTCCTTTGATAAAACACGAATTTCCTGGTAAACTTATGAATATTTTCCTTCCAATTTTTCAGATTATTTTCCTCGCAATTTCACCTGAAGTCCCTGCAAATTTCAAGGACAAATATTCATAACTTTCCGAAAAAACGAACACTTAATTGAGGGAAATTTGGCAACTCTTGAATGTTCATACGGCGTTCTTCCTTAGCACGGCAGAATAGGCCCGAATCCACGATCAACCTGAGCTCAAGTTTGACGTCAGTTTGATGAGTTTGTTGCTTGGTGAACGTTAGGATTTGGTGGACTGCCAAATCCTGATCATCAATCAACGTTCCGCATTAGATGAATTCCACTCGTCTTCTCACATTACACTCACTTCTCGTTATTCTCTTTTAAGGTGATTCGATGGACGCCATATTTTTTGTCAGAACGGCATGCGATATATCGCATCAATTGATTCCATTTTTTCAGCTATTCGTCATTTTTCTCCAATTTTGAGATCGCAATTCTGTTTTCAGGAGACTAAAGCATTCACTTACCAATTTTAACAAAGAAAGTCAACGTACTAAAGGCGTGGGTTTTCAGAGAGAAAACATCGCATTCGATACTGATATCGAAACTGCACTCTAATGCGATATTTTCTCTCTAAAAAAACCACGCCTTTATTACGTTGAATTTCTTTGTTAAAATTGGTAAATGGGTGCTTTAGTCTCCTGACAACAGAATTGCGATCTCAAAATTGGAGAAAAATGACGAGTAGCTGAAAAAATGGAACCAATGGATGCGATATATCGCATGCCTTTCTGACACAAAATATGGCGTCCATCGAATCACCATACAAAAGTTAGTTGAAAACGATCAAATTTAAGAAATTCTATTGTTGAGCAAATGCCAAACTGACGCTGAACTTGAGCTTAGGCTGATCGTGGACTTAGGCCCAATCATTTTGCACCTGTTTACAAGGATTTCGGTGTCTCATATGTGAACGAAGAAAATCAACCCAGCCACCAAAGAGAATACAGGGTGATCCGAGGTTAAACCGCCAGACTGCAGGAACGGATTCTATGGGTCAAAATAAGACTTTTTTTCCTTTCATGAAATTTCTTCGGGAAGTCAGGGTTGCCGGTTGCCACAGTCAGGGAATATTGGGAAATGTCATGGAATTTTAATAGGTCAGGGAAAACCTGGAAATGTCAGAGAAAATGACGAAAATACCAAGGAAAAGTTGTCAAGTCACCTTTATTTCCTTTCTAGAATGGGTTTAACGTTTTGAAAAACTTTGTTTGAGGATCCGAGTGTGATCCGAGGTTAAACCATCCAGACTGCAGGAACGGATATTATGGGTCAAAATTAGACTTTTCCTTTCGTGAAATTTTTTTCAAAAGAGCTCTTTTGAGGGGGCTACAGCTTTTTAAAGTTCTGCTAAATTACTTGATTTTCCTGCAATTTGGCAACAGTAATGCATCAAATCTCACGAAAATCGATGTGCACCAATTTGGTACCCTGAATTCATACAAGTGACGCTATTTTAATGATCGAAATTTCAGTTTAAAGTGAGGTTTTGGGTAGATGGTAAAACGCACCCCTCGAAATCCCAGTTTTAACTGAGATTTTGATTACTAGAATGCCACTAATGAATTCAGATTGTCAAATTATGGGTGCATGGCAATTTTCATGAAGTTAAGCGCATTACCGTTGCCAGAACGCAGGAAAAATCATTTGCTCTCAGAACTTTTAGAAACAGTCGGAAACCCTAGAGAGTCAGGTAATTTCGCGAACAGCGATCAGCGGAAGTCAGCACAATATTAGTGAGGACAATTTTGAGAGAGAAGGGATTTTCGTAAATCATGGTAAGCTAGGGAATTTGAAAATTTGGGAGTAAAAAACAGCCAAAAAACTCAGGGAATAATCAAGTAATCAGATAATGATAAAATTATAAAAACCCTGGATGGCTTAAAGTTATGAGTATATTTTCGGAATCGATTTTTGGGATCAAAATAAGTCTTTTCTGTTCCTGATACCGATGGTTAAAGTGCGAAACCATATACGTTCGTTTGGAATGTCGCGGTCTTCCTGTGATACTTTTTTATTCCTTGCCAAACTAGTCAACGCAATTTCTTAAAAACCTCGACTTTTTCGGCTTCGCTAGGAGAAAATGCCATAATGTTAGTATGTCAACTGTAAGGTTGACTTGTTTCTATTCGGAAAATTGGAAAAGCAGCGGAGATTTTGAAACACCCCAGCGGAGGAGACACACAGTGACCCACTTAAGCTATCGATATGGTCCTCGAGGAAAATACAACCTGCGTTGATTCTGAAACAATCGCTAAGGAGTTACGCGTTTTCGCAGGTTTTTAACAATACGCGGACTCCGCGAAGAGGTGCGACGGAAGTTCCCACCGACTTTCGGGAGCACTCAGAGCTATTTGAGAAGGTATGTGACGTCACCACTCACTTTGTTCCATCCATAGCGTCGTCGGTCAAGCTGGAAACTATGAATGGAGCTCCGGTATTCTATTCGGGCGTGAATAAACGCAAACCCGCGCGCGCGCCGCCGGAGAGGAAGCGAGGTGCTGGCGCTTTCGTAACTCGCGGCAGCAGCGGCCGAACGGCACCTTCCCCGCGTTTCGCGCGTCGCGACGCCGCCGCGCGCGCGCCGCGACGCCGACGACTCAATGTCACGACATTGCTCCGCGGTCGCCGCACTCAATGTTTTGCCCGTTGCGTTACTCCAGCATCGCAACGACTTGGCCGCCCCTGACGTGTATGCAGCCCGCGAGACCTTCCACCTCTTCGCTCTCGCGTCTTGCTTCAACTTTACTGCTGCTCTTCCTCCTCATCTTCATCCTCGTACTTTTCTTCCTCTTTTTTCTTCCCTCTTTGTCCTTCTCTTCTTTCTATTTTCTTATCCTTCTTTTCTTCTCATTCCTCCTCTTTCGTTTCTTTTCTTCTTCTCCTTTTTTCTTCTACTTCCTCTTCTTTTTCCTCCTCCTCCTCCTCTTTATCCTCATATATTGTTTCCTATCATTTCCTCCTTCTTTATTCCTCTCTCCTCTACTTTCTTATTCTTCTTTTCTTCTCATTCCTCCTCTTTCGTTTCTTATTTTACTTTTTTCCGCTACTTTTCCTTCTACTTCCTCCTATCCCCCCCCTCCTCCTCCTCATTTTAATCCTCGTATTTTTCTTTCTATTTTATCTTCCTTCTTTATTCCTCTCTTCTCTCTATTTTCTTATCCTTCTTTTCTTCTCATTCCTTTTCTTTCGTTTCTTTTCTTCTTCTCCTTTTTTTCTACTTCCTCTTCTTCCTCCTCCTCTCCCGCACTTTGATGTTCCCTATGCAGATTGATACGATTTAATACTCGATTATTTATTTAGTAATTTGTTTTATCATTATTTTTGAAGCGATTTTTCTCTAAATATTAAGACACAATTATTCGAGACGTAGCTTACTGGTATGCAGCCAGCAAGGACCTTTGAGGTATCGCTCGGGAGTCGAGATGGCGTTCCCGCCGCACAACGGGCTGAGTCTATGGGAGAAGCCAAACATCATATGGAAGCTTTAAAAGCTTATATACTCGGTAATACATAACTTAGAAGTAAATAGTGGATCATCGTTTTTTACACTGGAAAAAAAACACATTGGATCTAGAGTCCAGACTCTTAAAAACATCGACAAGAAAAAAGACTCTTGATTCAATCAGATTTAAGCTTAAATCAAGAACCAAGCGTCTTTATTTAAGGGGATTTCCTTTTGATTTAAGCTTAAATCTGATTGAATCAAGAGTCCTTTTTCTTGTCAATGTTTTCAAGAGTCTGGACTCCAGACCTAATGTGTTTTTTTATCCAGTGTACGTAAAATTCCTATTGGAAAACACCCCTTAAAATTTATGCCGTGACGAAATAAATATCAAATTTTGCTGTCTTGTCCGATCTATCTAATCGACCTGTTCCACTGTGCGTCCCCGCGCGCTAACATTATAGTGACGCATAAAAATTTCCATAAAGCCCGTCACTCGAGCATCGCGAGCTTCTCGAAAAACTAGTACCTTATTTTTTCCCCCACGAACGTAACGATCGCGTTGATCCTACCGCGCCTGAATTTTATTCGTAGCAATAATTAATGAAACTCATTTTTTTCGCTCGGATCGCGCCGTTTTGTTCGATACGAACATTATATGTTAATTAGTTGGTCCTGGAGACAAAAGAATAATTATGAATAATTTTCAATCGGGGATTCTAATTTTAAAGTAAAATGTACCTGTTTATTTTTTTATTTTTATTTTTTTGGCAAGTAAATGATTTTTACAATCAGTATTTTTATTTCTCCTGATCAGAGTACTTAATGTTTTTATTTTATCTTTATTCGGAGTGCATAATACATTTTTCGATTATCACTCGAACCAATCAACTAAAATTTGATGTTCGCATTGAACACGAATCATAATGCGCAACCAGTGTATTAAAATAGTTTTAATAACTGTTATATTGATCAGGTAAATGTCTACAGCAGGAATGTTAATTTCTATTTTTTTTTCCTCCTTTTTTTCTCTTCAGTATTTAAAAGTCTGATCTCGGTACTTACTTTTATATTGTAGTCGTTTGGGCCACTAATCAAGGTACGAATTTGAGCAGCATGACATTCTGAAGGGGTGCGCCTCGTGGCTGCTGCGCGGCCCAACCCCCGGGGGGTGCCTTTTGAGGTTCGCCTCACGAGTCCCCTCGATTTAAATGTCATAAATCTGAATCAAGCGGTCTCATCTTGACCTATCACAGTTTCATAGCCGCAAAAATTATGGAAATCGGTCCAATAAAGCGTTAGAACGATCTGTGACAAACAATGAATATGTAGGTGGTCAAAAAGCTTAAAGTAATGATGTAAACCTGGAAAACCGAAGATTATCAAGGAGATTCCAGGGTACTTTTCCATCGAATTTTCAAATCCCATTTTTTAACCCAACTCGATATAAATCGCTCAGCTGGATCGGAAAATCTCGAATTAGTTTTCTATCACCCCGTGCTGGCTCAGAAGACAGGGGATTTTCTTTAAATTGGTCAAGGTCAGGGAATTCAGATTCTGAATTTCTGTAACCACCCTGCTCCGTGGACTGAGAACCTTTTTCCTGTGGACTGTCGCAAATAGATAATTAATAATTAAAAAGAAGAAGAAAAAACATCGCGGAAAAAAAGAACTCGTATACTCGGGAAAACGCTCAAAATGCGTCTAGCCGTAGCGAAGTCGGTCCCATTCTTGCCAGGTAGCGGTGGCAAATCAACACTCCCCCCCCCCCTTCCATGTAAAGTATTCATATTTTAGCGCCTAATCTGGCAAGCATTCGGTGGGGAGACCCACGTGGCGGGCATATGACCCGGAGGGGGGGGGGTGTTGAGGAACCCGTCTTTTCCGTAGCGGTCGAATGCCTATCTCATGCGAAAACAAAACCGGATTACCGCGTACAAATTCACAACTATTACATACATCTTGACCTTAGATCCAATGTTAACACGGCAGTCACTAGTGGCAGTCGGCTACCGCTGCCGCCTAACATGCGCCTCACGTCACCGCCGGGTCGAGCTGCCATTTCCCGCCGAAATCCGCCAATTTGCAGGGCTTTTTTGCACGAAACTTTGAACTTAGAATCTGAAATGTCTAGGGACTGATTTTTGAAATTCATAGACAAAGCTATAGACAAAGAAGACATTGGGAGTATAGGGCGATCCTATTTGTGGAAGTGGGTGGTTGCAATGGATAAAGGCGGTAAGTAATAGACTAACTACCAGCAACCCACAAGAGTCCCTACGGTTAGTATATCATTTACCCCCTTAGTCTATAAGAAACACCCGTTTCAACCAATAGGATCGCCCCTGGCCCTTACTCCGTGTACTCCGTATGTCGTCTTTGTCTATCGATTTCATTAATCAGCCCACTGGTTCGTACGCCAGATGCATGATGTAAGGTTGTTACAAGCAAAAGTATTTAAATGTTTCGTTTTGGAACGAAAATATTCGAGGGATAGATCTACTGTTGAAGTCGAACCCCCCTCCCCCGCACGTAAGCGTTCCGTACACCGGGGAAACTAGGTATTTACCTAACTATGTCCATTTTCATTTATTTGTTTATTTTATTTTTGTCGTATCCTATTTACTTAAAGGAAAAAGTGTTATAGAGGGAGAGGGTAATGAATGATTTTTTTTTTTTAAAAAAAAGTGACAAATCAGGGAGGATAATTACAGAGCCAGTCCATTAGAAATTGAGCCCATTTAAAAGTGAGGAAAGCTTATCCACCCTTATGACTGCTTTCTCTGTACAGAGAAGTGCGTTCTTCCATTGCAACGTTTCAAAATATCCGATTTTTTTCTTAAGAAAATTGACTGAAATTCCTGTTCGAAATATTTTTAACTATCCTTGAAAGAGCAAAGGAAATTTTCATAATATTTCAAGGAATAAATGGTGGATTGTTTCTTACGAAGAGAACTCGTTAATTGTTCTTTTGTGGTTTTCACCATGTTCCGAGTTTATTTTTAGAAGTGCCAAATAAGAAATAAAAATTAAAAGCCTCTATGGAGTTTATTGGAGTTTCAAATTTTCATGCTTAGAAGAATAAGCCATGAACTTGAAATTCAAATCTGATGCAGGAAATGCTCCATGACTGATCAATGTCTTTATTAACTCTCCAAGATTTTTTAAAATTATGTTTCCGGTAACCATGTTTTTAGTTGGTACCTTCGTTATTCACTGATATCAGTGTTATCTTTGTCATCAGTCTCTCAACAGTGCCCAGTCGTCTGCCCAGTTTATGGCAGTTTTAGACATATGATGGAATTTTCCTCTCTAATAAGTCCCTCTCGATTTATTTCCAGGAATCCATGGACTCCCCACCAGAACAGGAAAGCTGCCAGATCTCGAGCACTTCGACGCCACCTTCTTCGGTGTACACGCCAAACAAGCAAATGTTATGGACCCACAGTTGAGGATGTTATTAGAACTGACCTACGAGGCCATCATAGATGCAGGTAAACCAGCGTAATTTCATTTAAACTGTTAACGTTAATTTGAAGCCTCATGTTCAGATTGAGGTTTGATTTCTTGCTGTGCAAACAGATAGGAGCAATGGTACAGGTACCTTGATAAGTGAATGGTATCGCCAATTTGAACCAGTCATGGGAAAACGAAAACTGGGAATATGAATATTGATATCTTTGCACAAGTCGAAAATGTATTAATTATTCAGTCATCATAGAGCATGACCTCGCATAATGTTTTATTTTGATGCCAAAGAGACCAGTCTTGTCAGAGATTGCCTATGAGACTAAAATTTTCATTTTCATATTGTACGAGCCTAATTTGTGATGATTTTAATGTATGACTGTAGTGAAGTAAAAAAAAAATCCTTTAGTTTTCTGTGAGATATATTCCTAATGATGCTTTTTAGGATCCAATCGTCCCAAGAAAATTTCCCGAAATTTTCATGAAATTGTTGAACTTTTTTGCAAAACCCTTTCAATCCCTTATATTCGTCAATGAGCTTTAACAGCTGTCTAAGTACCTGCACTTTCTGCATCTTGAGGGAGCATTGAAACAGTGCTTAGCAAGAGAGATCTAATTGTAAGTCAAAAACTAATTTCAAGTCACACTTTTTCACACTAATATTTTTTGTAGGATTTGAAATTTTAACATGGAAAAATACTGCTTTTAGGGAAGCTCAATTATCTCCTATACTCAATTTAATTTTGTTTATTTTTCTTTCTACTTTTACTTGTTTTCTTTTTTTAATGCTGCCCTGTTGTCACATCATCTTTGAATAAAATTATTTTTTTCCATGGCCACAAAAAGCTCCCAAGACTTCTTTTGTACATATCTCTCAACTACAAAAAATCATTCAATTTTTACTCTTAAATATTTTCAACAGTTTTCCATTCATGATAAAAATATCGTATGAATGTAAAGAGACAAAAGCAATTAAAGAACTAATCAACTTGTCTGTTTTTATTCCAGGTATGAACCCACAAGATGTGAGAGGCTCCAGAACCGGAGTTTTCATTGGAGTCTCAGCCAGTGAGTCCGATGAGTTTTGGACACAAGATCCAGAGCAAGTCAATGGTTATGGATTGACTGGTTGCTGCAGAGCTATGTTCCCCAACAGAATTTCTTTCACATTTGACTTCCAAGGTAAACAACAACTAAGATCTATCTTTTTGTCGGTCTGTAGTTTAGTTGAAATGTAGAAAGAAATGAAGAATAGATCAATAGATAATGCAAGAATGAAAGCTCCTTTTCATTTGTTTTCTCGTTAAAATATCCTGCAGAAGACATCAAAATCACCAAAAATTTTCATAATCCACTCACAGGCAAGAAATTAGCATCAACTCAGACTGCTCACATGTGGAAAAAATCATCATCCCTATCAGTACAATCGGTCATTGAAAATGAACTTATCATCCTGCAGTAAACTGAAATTTGGTTTTATCAACAGTTTCTTTTTCCTTTGATACATGCTACCCATAAATTTGTTAAGAAAAATCTAGCACCATTGGAAAATTATTCTATTACATGCCACAATTTAATTAGCGTGGTGCATCATTCAAATCAAGCAGACTTTCGTTTTTGGACGAGAGGGAAGTTCACATTCTTCAAGACATACAAGTTCATTTTCACTTAAGGGTGAAATTTAAAAATTGTTAATGTGTTAACCATGTTTTAATCAGATTTTGATGTCTAATTTTTTTAAATGTTCCTTACAGGACCTAGTTATGCCATTGACACAGCTTGCTCCAGTAGTATGTTTGCATTACAACAGGCTATCAGTGCAATGCGTACCGGTCAGTGTGACGCAGCCATTGTTGGTGGTGTGAATCTTTTGTTGAAACCCACATGTTCCTTGCAGTTCCATCGCTTGAGTATGTTGTCGCCACAGGGAATGTGCAAAGCTTTTGATGTATCAGGTATGCCTCTCTTAAAGTATTTTTTTTTACTTCAAATGAATTCCAAAAAAACATAATCATTAGGCTTTTAACCATTTTATAATTTTTAAAGTTATTTTATGATACTCTTCAGCAAATAGTCTGAATATTGCTAGTAGGAACTTTCATTTTATGCTGAAAGTAATCTAATTTTACTGACAATTATTGAAGAATTAAAAGAGTATGTTACTTGGGTGTCCTGATGGTTTTCAATAAAGTTCAAAACAGTTCTGTTGAGGAGTAATAACAGTAAGAACCCCTTTACTGATATTTTTTTTTTCCATTTGAGTTTTTGGAGTGGGTGAAAATGAGCTGTTGCCATGTACAACAGTTATATAAGGAAAGCAACTAACATTTAGGCAACAATTTTGTAACTTACACTTAGTACAGCTCCAATAAAAACAGACACTTCTGACTAGAACGGCCATAGCAAAGTGTATCAGTATTCCAGAACTACCGACAAGAATTTATTTGAACATCACTTCAAATGACCGCCCATAGTAGCATTGACCCTACTAGCAGAAAGCTCAAAATTAGTTATAAAAAGAGTATATGATGAACAATTTGACGTAAAAAAGTCTTAGAAGTGTCAAACCAAGTGGAAGTTATGATAGTCTGAAGTTAACGGTTCATCGTATTTCTGAGGAAAAACGATTCAAAGATTTTATCCACTACTTAGGGCTTAGAATTATGGGATTAAAGTATCGGTTCATGCTCTCTTTTAGCACCATAGTGAAATAATTTTCTTACAACTTATCCTCTTGAATACAAGAGCTTTCTCTGTAAAAACTGAGTGTCTTATTTTTTCATCCAAATAAAAAGAAATATCCAACACAATATCCAAAGAATCATCCACAATAATTTCTGCTTCGTTTCAGGCATATCATCTCTGTATTGAATTTCTACCATGACGCTTTTTTTCTATCTCTATAACCACGTGTAAAATTGGACAAAATATCATCACTGTTTCTTTTTCTCCGCAGGTAATGGTTATGTGCGTAGTGAAGCAGCTGTTGTAATTTACCTCCAACGTGCCAGTCAAGCCAAGCGTATCTATGCCACAGTCGTCAATGCCAAAACCAACACAGATGGTTCAAAAGAACAAGGTATCACCTTCCCCTCCGGGCAGATGCAAAAGAAACTCATCAAGGAGACCTATGCCGAGGTTGGAATCAACCCTGCCGACGTTGCCTATGTTGAAGCCCATGGAACCGGAACCAAGGTATGATTTTGCCCCTTAAGTAGTTCTTTTTTATAGCATAAATTAAGAAGCATTTAGTATGAAGGAAGTTAGATCATGAAACTGAATAGAGCCAGAACATTGTGTAAGAAACAATATCAATTTATGTAAGAAATGAGAACCCATCCCTTGTTTAAAAACTGTGTTTGGTAAATAAACCCTCTCTTGCAGAAATATCTGCCATTGAATGATGATGATCTTGCATTCAACTTATCATATTTCTCTTTTAATTCTTAAGTCCATACCAAATACATCATAACTTTTTTAGATTGCAACGGAAGATCTGTCATTGTAATTTTAGCATGGAAAGTAATTACGTACAAGAATCTAGATGGCTGATCCTCTGCACAACCTTTAAGTGTTGAATTCAATCAATGTGGGCTCTATTTATCAAAATGTTTTATTTTAGGGTTTTATTTTGAGGTTTTTTTCTTCTTTTTTTTTTTTTTTTTTCAAAATTTCATAACTTTTTTACACTGAAGAGTATTCTGAGACGCTTTTTTTACTAGCTGCCTCTTGAAAATCTTTTTAGTGCTTAACTTATTAGATTGTTCAAAACAATTATCTCATTGAAATATGGCCAATAATGTCAGTTTGTAAATCATGTAAGTTTTTTGTAACTGGTTAATACAGTGTGAAGCACTTTGCATTCTCTAAACGATCTAACCCATAATTTTGTTTTTCTCCAGGTTGGAGACCCTCAAGAAGTCAACTCAATTGCCGATGTATTCACCAAAGGTCGCAATTCTCCTTTGCTAATTGGGTCTGTAAAATCCAACATGGGTCACTCTGAACCTGCCTCCGGTTTGTGCTCAATTGCTAAGATCCTCATTGCCATGGAGGCCGGTGTAATCCCTGGAAACTTGCACTTTAAGAACCCGAATCCTGATATCCCCGCTTTGTTGGACGGCCGCTTGCAGGTCGTTGACAAGGCCTGGCCCTGGAGTGGAGGCCTCGTTGCTGTGAACTCATTCGGTTTCGGAGGAGCAAACGCCCACATCATCCTCCGCTCAAATCCTAAACCTAAGTCCGTACCCATCCAAGACGACATTCCTCGCGTGATTGCTGTATCCGGAAGAACAGATGAGGCTGTCAATTACAAGCTGAGCAAAATCGAAGAAACACCCCGCGATGATGATCTCAATGGATTGCTCCATGGAATTTACTCAAAACCCATCATCGGCCACAGCTACAGAGGCTACACCGTGCTCGAGTCCCCTACTCCTCAGAAGGAAGTTGCTCTGTACAATGGTCAGAAGCGGCCTGTCTGGTATGTCTTCTCTGGTATGGGAAGTCAATGGGCTGGTATGGCCAAGACTTTAATGCAGTTGGATGTTTTCCACCGGGCTCTTTCAAAGTGCGCTGAGGCACTCCGTCCAGAAGGTCTCGACTTGCTCTCCATCATCACCTCTGAGAGCGAGGACACTTTCGATAACGTTTTGAATTCTTTCGTCTCAATTGCAGCAATGCATGTTGCCTTAGTCGATGTTCTAACCTCTGTTGGAATTTCTCCTGATGGAATTGTCGGTCACTCCGTCGGAGAGCTTGGTTGTGCATACGCTGATGGAACTTTCACCGCCGAGCAGACAGTTCTCGCTGCTTTCTGGAGAGGTCGCTCTATCTTGGAATCAAAATTACCCCCTGGAAGCATGGCTGCAGTTGGTAAGTCTCTAGCTCCTAAAACTGGCATTTCTTTGCCTACTCTCTCAACCTCTTTAATAGAATCTGTGCATTTTTCTCAAAATTATGGTAGAAGTACAACATCCTAAAGCGTTCCAAACATTCTTTGATGAAAAGGAGTATTTTCAAACCTAAATCCCATCCTCTCGAAAAATTATTTTTTAATCAAGTTTTTATTCTATCATTGTTAGTACGAAGTAATCTCACTGCCCTTCTCAAATTCGAAGACAGAAGTGGTTAATAACTGTGATCAGATCAGCCACCTTGATCTTTTTTTCACATGTATCCATTTAGGATTGTCATGATTATTACTGAGTCGCTTCTCCTTTACAGGTCTTTCTTGGGAAGAAACTAAAGCCCGTGCTCCAGCTGACATTGTCGCCGCTTGCCACAACTCTGCTGACAGTGTAACCATCTCTGGCCCTCCAGACTCTATCGCCAACTTTGTCAACGCCTTGAAATCGGAAGGTATCTTTGCCAAAGAAGTCAAGAGCTCCGGTGTCGCTTTCCACTCCAGATACATTGCCGAAGCAGCTCCCAGGCTCAGGAAGAGTCTTGAAAAGGTAGAGACTTGTTAATTGATATTTGTTAATCCTCTAAAGTAGAGAGGCCAATAAAAAGATTAATTTTCACTCAAAAAAGGCTGTGTTGGGATGCGCAAATTTGCTACGTAAACTGCTATAGTTGCGCAGTTTCTACTAGGCAGTTTTAATTAAGCTAAACTAATTGTGTGACAAATTTTGCAATGTTCTTCTTTGTAAACGTATCTGAAGATATATGATTACGATTTGATTCAAACCACATAGCGACTTAGCCGCATCATTACTTTTTCAATTTTGAATTTTGACTTGAGTCCAATGAGCCTCTTACTCGTTTGCTCAATAGCTGGTAATGAATTTTTTGTTTTCTGATCCCCTTTACCATCACTTTTTAGATTTCCAATTTTAATTTTTAAGTTAATTTTCTTTAAATTTGTATGATGCTGTGTTCTGAATCTCTAACTTTGCCTTATTACTAAAATTTCAAAAACATTTTAACTCTCAAATTATTGTCTAATTTTTTTTTATTTTTTGTAGATCATCCCAAGTCCCAAACCAAGGACATCCCGCTGGATCAGTACCTCTATCCCTGAGGGCGCCTGGGACTCTGCTCTGGCTCAGCAATCGTCTGCTGCCTACCACGTCAACAATTTACTTTCTCCTGTTCTGTTTGATGTAAGTTTTTGGTTCGTTTGTCACAATTTTCCCTTCATACAAGATTGAGCTTTACTGAATCAAAGGATCAAAATGTTTTCCAACAGTCAACCCCTGAACTTTTCTACCTGTAATTATATGATTTATCAGGTAGCGCTCCATTTTTACTCGAATATGTTAGAATTCATTCGGCAAGAAAGCCGAATTTTTAGGAGTCATGAAGATTTTTTATGATTTAGCATCGAATTTTACAAGAAGCAAAGACGCAACCGAAATTCTGATCATTTCGATTGTGTAAGCGCTTCATTAGGCAGTGCCTCTTAATGTAGACAACGAAGTTCAAATTTTAGGGGAAAACTACATACATGACCTCTTGTGAAATTAGAACATTTATCTCATGTTTCGAAACAAACATGCAGGACCCATATGTGGACCAAATTTTGCAATAAGGCACCATTATTCATGGCTCATTTTAGAAACAACACATATCATTGGTTTCCCCATGCAGAAAGGTGCTTTTATGGAAGAGCCAGAGATAATGGTTCCTTATTGCTAATTGTAATCCATGTGTGCCAACTCTGTAGCCTTAAAGTGGATTTAAGAGAAAAAAAGGTTGTTGTTGTTTCAGTTCTCTGATATTTTTGCAGAACTTTCTTGTCTTCCTTACAAATATGTCTCCCTCTTTTCAGTTTCATTACTTCTGTACAATTTGATTACAGGAAGCCATCTCCCACATCCCTAAAGATGCAATCGTCATTGAAATTGCCCCTCACAGTCTTTTGCAAGCTATCTTGAAACGATCCCTCGGCCCCGACAGCATCAACGTTGGTCTCTTGAAGAAAGGAACCAACAGCAACATCTCAGTCCTCCTGTCCAGCTTAGGAAAGTGAGTATTTTCTTCTAACGGACTTTCAATCATCTAGAAGAACTGTATCATTTTGTAATATACTGATAACCAGGACTGGAAAAAACCAGGATTCATCATGAATTGAAAATCATCTGGGGATAATCAGGGATTCCGTTTCAGAAACTGGGATTCTCTTCTTCCATTGTTTAGAATGGGAGAAAGAAAAGATCGGACTGAAGTCACTTCAACCTGTCATCAACCTTTGCATCTATCATCAGTTGGTGTATTGGTTAGCTCATATATTTCTGTTGAATGTTGCCTTTTTCTGATGTGACATTTGTCTGATCTTTTCTTTCTCCCCTTCTAGAGACCAATTCGTTTCTATCTTGCACCTAAGCCTAAGCATCATGCGTAAAGTATGTAATTTTGACCTCCGGTAAAATGAATTTCTCAACTATTGTATTTTGTCCATTTCTGTCTGGAATGTTGTTAATATGAACAGATGTTTGACCTGCCGAAAATAACAGAAGAGATAGATTAACATTTATGGAAGTCTGGAAAAATTTCAAATAATTTCTTAAAAATTATTTGACATTTGCAATCTAAAGTAAATATTAGGTATTAGGAAAGCTGGTCCATAAATTAAATGCATATCAGATAGCGTTAGATGCATACAATGCCTTAATTAACTTTTTAATCTTCTTTTAGACTGTACAATGCTGGTCTTAACCCCAATTTTGCCAATTTATATCCTCCTGTCAAATTCCCTGTCGCCCGAGGCACTCCTATGCTTCAGTCTCTAATCAAATGGGACCACTCCATTGAATGGGCCGTCGCTTCATTTGCTGGAAAGGTAATACTTGAAATTTTTAACTCGTCAGTTGAGCATGTAAAGTTATTGAATTTAAGGGAACTAGGAGGCAAGCAGTTAACTATAATTTAAAGATCAAAATATAGTTTTAATGATGATCAAATATACTTAGTCTTGTTTTAAGACTGTTTTGAATATGCATTTGTCGCAAGCAAGATGATTCTTCTTCTCATCTTGGATAAAATAAATATTTGTCGTCATAGATGGTTATTATTTTTAAAAATGTGCATCACATGGTTATTGTAATGATTTCTAGCCCCCAAAGAAACATTTATCTCAAAAGATGCGGCATTTTTTAAGAAAATCATACTTAATATTGAAAAAAATCAAGACCCCAATGCTTTTCTAGTTCTAAATATGAGTATGCAAAGCCGCTTTGGGTGCATAGAGTTTTCTCATCAAAGGTTTTTAATTTACCAATCATGTGTACTATTTATTTAATTCTCAAATTGCTCCATTTCAGGGTTCAAGATCTGGAGAATCTGTCATCGATATTGATCTTAGCAAGGAAAGTGATGCTTACTTGGCTGGTCACACAATTGATGGCCGTATCATCTTCCCGGGTACTGGCTACATTGTAAGTTGATATGTTTATTTTTTCATTGATTCAACTCAACTATTTTCTCCCTGCTGTGAGTCTTTTATGACCGAAAGGAGGTCTAATGAGCTGTGAAGTTAAAATAAAATCCTTGACAAGATGAATGCTCTATTATCTGCAGTTAAAAATAAAGCCCTTTATCTAAAGGCCCTAGTCATATAAGAATGAATCACAATCAAAATTTCATCCTCTCCTTTTTGCATCCTAGAATCAAGAAGCCAATGAAAGTTGCTGGTTAAGTGTATGAGATAGTGTTTTATAAATAGGTATCAGTAGTGTCAACCAAGAAGAGCATAGAATTTCTGCTCAATGCATCGAAGATTCTCCTCCTCTACAATCCAAATAGTCAACTTTACCTCTTTTGCTGTGGAATCAGTCTGATTTTTTTGAGTCGGTCAACCATGTTCTAAAATTTTCAGGTTTTGGTATGGAAAACTTTTGCCAAGATCAACGGAAAGTCAATGGAAGAATTGCCTGTCGTTTTGGAAGACATTCAGCTCCACCGTGCTACTATTATGCCCAAAGAAGGTACATTAAATTTTTTCGAAGTTGGCTCTTGTTTTTGTCTAGTTTCTATCCCAAAAATTCTAATTAATTTCTCTCTTTCTTGCTTCAAGTTATCTAAGTTATCAACATTAGACTTTTCTCACAGTAAAAGTTCAGTGTTACATAATGCCCGATCTGACAACAAAATGGAATCTGCATACTTCTAAATACACTCCTCTTATGGCAACAAACGAGCTTACTTTAAAATGATGGAGGTAACCTGAGTAATCGCAAGAAGGGAAATGCATAAGAAAGGGCCTTGTAACATGTTTCGTTATAGATCATGTTCAGAATACTTTTTTTTTTCAAACAATTATCATGTCCTATTTTATTAGAGCCTAATTGTTTTTAATTGCCCCCAGAGTTCACTTTAAAAACTTTTCATTCTCAATTTCTAGGATCCGTTAAATTCTTGGTGAACATCTTCGAAGGCTCCGGTGAATTTGAATTGGTTGAAGGAGGCTCTGTGGCTGTATCCGGTAAAATCCGTATCCCTGAAGACATTGACAAAGAGCAATTGACCCTGCCCGAACCAACTTATGCTGACACTCAGAATCTCCCACTCAAAACAAACGATATCTACAAGGATCTTCGTCTCAGAGGCTACGACTACGGTGGCATTTTCCGTGGCATCACTGATGCTGACAACAAGGGTAAGCCAGAATTTATTTCACAGTAAATCCAAAAAACCAGCCAATATTTGCCCAAGAGTAATATAAAATTGCAGTGCTTTGAAATGCCAATGAATTAATAATGTAGTTCAAACTCGATGGGTTATTAAGTCTGTAGATTGAATTTTATTGTAAGATGGATTTTGGATGTTATGAGTATGTTAGGATATTTTAAAAGTATCAGAAGATTTAAAACCTTCAAAGGGCAAAAAAATCTCAAGACACCTCTCAACCACAACGTTTCTCACCCATTTAATGAATGTTTAAATCTTTTATGAGGACAAAAATGTACTTAATTCAAAAGGTATAATCCATGGGGGTATCCATCCAGGTATCCATGGTATAAATCTCGCGTAAACAATCCATTTTCTTATAATTATTTGCAAGTTCTCAAAAGTATCCTCTAAAAAGTTCAATTAGACCTGCTGATTTCTATACTAAAATTGGAGGCAATCACCTGTGACCGTTCTACTGTTGGTGAGCAGTAGAAGAAAAGATCAGTAAAGCAAGAGGAAGCTCTAAAATTTTTGCCTACTTTTTCTGGTCTAAAATCTCATCTGAGCATATTGTTTGCAGGTGTGAAGGGTAAACTCTCCTGGGTGAACAACTGGATCAGCTACTTGGACACAATGCTCCAATTCTCCATCCTGGGCATGAACTCGCGCGAACTCTACCTCCCAACAAGAATCCAGCGCATCTCCATCAACCCAAAGAAACACTTCCAGATCCTGGAGTCCACTCCAGAAGAAGACAAAACAATCCCTGTCTTCAAGCACAAAGGAATCGAAATTACCAAGTCCGGCGGAGTTGAGATCAGAGGTCTCAAGGCCAGTTTGGCACCAAGGAGAGGAGGAGCTCAGGCCCCCCCTAAACTGGAGCAATACGCCTTCATACCTTACGTCACCGAAAAAGTTACTCCATCCATCGACAACTTCCGTGCTTTGACAGCCAGTCTCCAAATCGCCCTTGAAAACAGCGGTGGCCCAGTCAAAATGAAGGTTGCCGAAGTTGCAACTGACCGCCAGCCAGACAACCTTTTGGCAGCTCATGTCGTGAAAATCCTTGAATCCGAACCCCTTCTCACCGTAGAATTGAATGTCGTCACCAACTCTGCCGAAGCCCTGACCCCAGTCTTGGAGCCTCTGGGCATCAAGACACTCACCAAGGATGTCACAGCTGGCCCTGTTGACCAGAACTGTCACTTAGTCGTTGCGACTGACTACCTAAACAATGCAGCAGTTGTCGCTAACATGGCTGCCAGTGTCAAACAAGGAGGATTCCTTCTCTTTGAAGAAAGCACTCGTGTCGATGACAATGCTGTCAAGAAGACGGGCTTGGATGTAATCTCCAAGATCCAGACTGATGGAAAGACCTATGTGCTCTTGAAAGCTCCTGCAGATTTGCCTGTGCCTGTTGTCATCAACGTGACTGAAAACAACTTCAACTGGGTGGAGGAATTGAAATCCGCCCTGCAGCAGTCAGAGACCGAAGGAAAGAAGGTTCTAGTCGTCGTCCAGGGTGAACCATTGAACGGTATCGTTGGTATGATGAACTGTATCAAGCAAGAGTCTGGCGGTGTCAATGTTCGGTGAGTTTCCCATCATTTGTTTTTAATGATGCTAATACTTTGCCAATATCTGGGTCTTTGTTTCTACAAAATAGTAGCTAAGTATTTTTTATACTTCCTTTAAAGTGGTAGAAAAAAAATTATGAAGTCCTGTAATGTCCTCGATTTTGCTCATTAGAACTGCTTGAATGAAAACTTATTAAATGCTCTTAAATTTAGTCTTAGAGAGCTTTCATGAACTCTGGAGAGGAATAGAAAGTTTTTCTTAATCTGTCAATTTCAATAATGTGTTTATTGTTCAATTTCAGCGCTGTATTCATCCAAGATACGGATGCACCCAAATTCTCCCTAACTGCAGCACCATATGCTGCCCAATTGAAGAAGGACCTTGTCCACAACGTTTACAAGAACAAACAGTGGGGATGTTACCGTCACTTCAGCTTAGAAAACGAGTCTGAGAAGACCTCTCTGAGCGTGGAACATGCCTACATTAATGCCCTCACGCGTGGTGACCTGTCCAGTCTCAAGTGGATTGAAGGACCACTCTCATTCTACAAGTATGAAACTTTTTACCAAGCATTACCTATTTTGTTTTATTAAAATAATCTGGTTCTTAAAAACTATTTTCCATTTAATCCTTAGAATGAGAAATTAGATTGAATTTAGGAAAAAGATACAAAGTTATTTTTAGGAGACAAAGCGTCATAGAATTTCTTTTTTTTATTTTTCATGCAGAAAATTTTTTTGTCAAAATTCACTTTTTGATAAACTTCAGGAGTTTCGATTATTTATAGACAAGAAAGTCAAATTTTCTGCAAAAATCATCATTTTTGTTTTTAAACTTTATTAACATGGTTCCATTATCCTGAATGTGGAAAGAGCCAAATCATTTCAAGAAAAGGAAGCAATTGCTCTTTAGTTTTGCCTCAGGTCGGCCTCCTGTGGTGTAGTAGTTGTAGCACTTGCTCTATGAGCGGGAGGTTCCGGGTTCGATTCCATTTCCAGGGACTCGAGTCTGATGGTTTCGAACAATGATTACTTGGAGCTAACTTGGAGCTAACTTGCAAGTATAATATCATCCCTTTTGGAGTATTTGAAGTGAATAAAAAGTTTCCTAGACTGATTTTTAATTTTCCGGTTGAAAATCAGAGTTCAACGCGTTTTAATCTATACGGTTTCTCCTCTTTTCAGGCCTGAGCAACACCCCAACGAAGAGCTGTGCACCGTCTACTACGCACCCCTTAACTTCCGTGACATCATGTTGGCCTCTGGTAAACTACCGCCAGATGCGCTGCCTGGAGACCTCGCTGGTCAAGACTGTATCCTCGGTCTTGAATTCACTGGTCGCGACACCAAGGGCCGTCGTGTCATGGGTATGGTTGCAGCTCGTGGTCTTGCCACCACCGTCCTTGCAGACCCAACCTTCCTGTGGGAGGTGCCCGAGAAGTGGGACTTGGCTGAGGCATCAACCATTCCTGTAGTCTACTCCACTGTGAGTATCCAGAGTACATTTTTCATAGATTGTGCTGAAAATTCAGCAATTCAGCACATTTCCCCATTTAACACAGTACCTAATATTCAGATTCCTTCACACAGCCTGGCACCTTTGCCAGAATCCGAAGATTTCAACTCAATTCTAGCTTTTGTTACAGTTCAGAACAAGTTTTTAAGGAAGTTTAAGAATTTAGTTCGCGAAGTTTAGGACTGAAATAAATCAGAGCTGTTAGATGAATCATCTAATCAAGTTTTACATTGAATAAATGAGTGACCTTTGTTTACTGTGGACTGTCTAGTGTTTTCCTGGTTAATTAAGTAATAAATTAACCGTAAATAATTTTACTCCTGCGATGACCATTCAAATAAGGACCCAGATTCTATTGCGTGAATGTCATCTATAGATATTTAGTCATTTCTCCTCCGCAATCTGATGAGAGTAGGTGAAGTTGGAGGCTATGGCAAAATGCGAGGCTCAAAGCAATTTTTTTAAATGAAAAATTGTACAAGAATTTTCAGCATGCCATAGTTGAATTAAATAACGAATGAATTTTTTTGTAATTTCGTTCTTTTACTTTATAACAGATTTTTATGTACAATTAATTAAGAATGTACAACTAACAATCATAGCTCGAAAAATTAACAACAATCATGCAAATATTTCAGGCATACTACGCTCTGATTGTGAGAGGACGTATGAAGCCCGGAGACTCCCTTCTCGTCCACGCTGGTACTGGTGGTGTCGGTCAAGCTGCCATCGCCATTGCCTTGCACATGGGCTGCACTGTCTTCACCACTGTCGGATCAAAGGAAAAACGCGAATACTTAAAGAAAACTTTCCCACAAGTAAGTCTTAGAATTTTAACCTCAGAGTTAAAAACACGGCAGGAAGCCTGTTTATCAGTAAAGCGGGCATACTACTGCATTCAAAGTGAAAATCAATAAAGTTTCAGCTGATGAATTTTGCAAAACTTGTTTAGCTATCAAGCACTTTGCCGATTTTCTTTTTTTTCTTTTTGCTCTTGAAACTTGATTTAGCCCTGTATTGAACATGAAAATCCCAATCCTGAAGCACACAAGAAGAATTCTTAAAAACTGAAGCATTCAATCAAACTGTAAATTTTTGTTCTATTTTTATCCGTTATAAAGCATCCCATTTTATTAAATAAGTTCTGAAACAATATCTCCCATTAAATATAATAGTTTTTTCTCATTGAAAAAGACGGATCTAAATCAATTTTTGTTTTTTTATTTGCAGTTGACTGACAAAAACATTGCCAACTCTCGTGACCCCAGCTTTGAGCAACATGTCATGATTGAAACTAACGGCCGTGGTGTTGATGTTGTCCTCAACTCTCTTGCGGGAGAAATGCTCCTTGCCTCCGTCCGCTGTCTAGCCAAGGATGGTAGATTCTGTGAAATTGGAAAACTTGATCTCTCCAACAACACCCCATTAGGTAATTAGTCCGATATTCAATCTACAGCTTGAAGCTTAAAGAGTACCATTCTACTTTGAACTATTCGGTACTGTTTTCTGAAGACTAAATTTCCCAATTTTCTGTAAATTTCTGCCGAAATGTTCCGATTTTCTCATATTTCCATTGAACCTTTTTTTCGATATCCCCTAATTTCACTCTCGAAGATGGTCTCATCACTTCTTGCAGTCTCTTGCCTGCTAAAGACTGCAAGAATGGTGCTCTGCATTGAACATTTGCCTCAATCTGCATAGCTTTGGAGCAATTTTACGGCATGTGGGATTAATTTCTAAGAATTGCTTTTTCAAAAGCCGATTTTGTAAATTGTAACATAAGTAGCTAGCAAAATACCTTGTTGAGCACTGAATTGTTAAGAATAGGCCTAACTTTAATTTTCATTTTCAATTTTATTTTAGGTATGTCTATCTTCCTGAAAAACACTACCTTCCACGGTATTCTTCTTGATTCCCTATTCGATGCCAACTGCGAGAACGTTGAAAAACAAGAAGTCGTCAGATTGATGGACGAAGGTCTCAAGAATGGTGCCATCCGGCCACTACCTGCCACTGTTTTCTCAGAAAAACAAGTTGAACAAGCTTTCCGGTAATTGCTCAAGTTTTGTTCTTGATCTCTCAACATTATCCTGATAAACTCATCTAAATGTTACAACAAAAATTAATTTGTTGCCACTATGTCTGAATCTAATTGATTTAGGAATGCATTATTGTTCCATTTGCCTGTGTTCAAGCACTCAGAAAGTTATTGAAAAGACGTAGCATTGTCTGAAAATTTTAGAAACACACTGTGTAGGAAAATATTATCATTTCATTCTTGATTCTATCTAATTTTGTTTCATGATATCAAACTGTTTGAATTTTAGCCTTCGTCAAAAATTTTGCTGAATTGCCTCTTTATTCAAAAAAATTTGAAAACAATGTTCTTAAACTACTCTATGGTCATTGTTGTCAAAAATTTACATTCTTTAAAAGGTTTTTGTGTTATGCAAAAATCAAATTACCATTGATCAATTCTCATTCTCTGGGCGCCATAGGACATGTATATTTTCTGAAGATATCTTACTCATAAATATTTATAATTACTTAGTTTATCTTCCTTTTCAGTTTCATTGGTTCAGGAAGACACATTGGTAAAGTTGTTTTAAAAATCCGTGATGAAGAATCAAGGAAGACGCAACCTGCCACGCAAAAACTTGTATCTGCCATTCCAAGAACTTACATGAACCCTGACAAATCCTACGTTCTTGTCGGTGAGTTTACGTTTGATGTAAAATGTTTGAAGTTTTATTGATTTCAGAGTCGCATCAAATCTCCAGAGATTGAAGTCTTATATTAAACAGAATAATGTGCAAATTTTTAAATCCTATCAAACAGGATTTGGAATGTTCCAAAAGATTTTTATTTGTAGAATCCCTCAGCCTTCTTTTTGTGGTGAACCTGCCAGTCCGTGAAAGTAAATTATTTGAAGGAAAAGAAGAAGAACCATTGAAATTTTGGGATGTCCTAATGCTTGCCCCGTTTTTCAAAATGATACTCTGTGAAACTTGCGGAGTGATTTTTAGAAAGATAAATGACCTTACTCTTTTTAAACTGATTTTTTTCTATTGTCCGATTTTTTACAATTATCATTATTTTTATTTCGTTTTTTTGTAATGCCTATTGTATTCATGCGATTTCAGGTGGTCTCGGAGGTTTTGGTCTTGAGCTGGCCAACTGGTTGATTGGTCGCGGAGCTACCAAGATTGTCTTGACTTCTCGTAGTGGAATCCGAAACGGTTACCAATCCCTCTGCGTCCGCAGGTGGAAAGAAAACGGTATCAATGTCGTCATCTCTACCTCTGACTGCTCCACCGTAGCTGGCACAACCAAGCTCCTGGAAGAAGCCTCCAAACTGGGTCCAGTTGGTGGCATCTTCAACTTGGCTGTCGTAAGTAACAGATTTTCAGTTCAAAAACCTTCTGTTGTATCATTGAAATGTTGAGCTTTCGAATTTGTCAGATTTACCCATTAATTCCCATTAATTCCAGATGACTACTCCTAGAAAGTGAGGAATAGTTCCTTTAACTCAAAGAGTAAACCATAAAATGAGTAATAGATGAACTACAACTATTATCTATTACCCGATATCATTGAATACACCTAATTACTGGAGTGCCTTAAGATCTGGTCACACCATCGATGTTTTCATCAGTATCTCAAGATCAGGCAGTTATTATAAACCAGAAATGACGTCGTATCAGTCCCATTTCAAACAATATTTAGTAAGTTAGTCAATATTAATTGATCAATTGTTACATCATATTTGGTTTCTATTGATTACCAGACTTTGATATTCAATGAAAACAATGATTCTGTGATCAAGGCATCAAGTGGCGAAAATTTTTGATCAAGAAAAATTTTGAATATGGCTTTGTATGCCATTTATTGCTTCTGAGGAAATAATTTTTAAAACATGTAAAATATATGATATTTTGCTGTCTGAAGTCTAATACTAAAAATATGATACAAATTCTCAGAACTGCTACGAACATTTCATAGATTTTCCTGCATTGACTCCAATTTTTCATTCAACAGGTGCTACGTGATGCCCTCTTGCCCGACCAAACAGCTGTTGACTTCGAAAAAGTTGCTTTACCAAAGATCAACGGAACAAAGAACTTGGACCAAGTTTCTCGGAAACTGTGCCCACAACTGGACTACTTTGTTGCCTTCTCTTCAGTTTCTTGTGGTCGTGGTAACATTGGTCAAACTAACTATGGTCTTGCCAACTCTGCAATGGAAAGGATCTGTGAAGCCCGACAGGAAGCTGGCCTTCCTGGTGTAAGTTCCAAGATGATTCTAGAATTCTTTTACCATTATTGCAATTCTCTCAAACGTGAGGCTTAGTTTCATTAGAACGTAACTTTCAGTAGAAAAGGAGACCTTAGTCTGTTACGTCAACCTTTTCAGAATGGCTATTTCTGTCGAATTGAATTGAAGAATCAGAATTTCAGATTTTTTATACAGCTACTGGCAGTAAAAACTGGAAAAAATTAGGAAATTTGATGTCTTCCGGAAAAATCAGGAAAATTGGTCATCGATCAGGAATTCCAAGTGCGTTGAGCAGTTTACAAGTACATGCAGTTTAGCACATACAAAAGTGAAGCTTTGGATTCAATTCATCACAAATGTTGGTTTGTAAAATCGAAGAAGTGTTAATTCATCCAGGCAAAAAATCAGGAAATTTCATTTAAAATATCAGAAAAATCCAAAATGAAATTTTAATAGCCACCCTGAGACAAGAAACTTTCCTAGTTCCCTAAAGAGCGAATTGAGAGTGTGTAGTTTATTTTTGTGCTTATAAAGGAAGAAGATGAGAAGTTAAATCCAGCAATTATGCACTCTTAACGCAGTCTTACGTTTTAAATAGTTCTTTTTCTTGACAAGTTGATTTTGAGTTACTGCTGATCACAGTACTCTCCTTTGGATGGTTACAAATACAATTGATCAAAAGTCGTAAAGTTTTCGCTGATATCTCAATTTGCCTCTCAAGCAGCAGCTTTTTATTTTTTTATCATCTCAGAAAAAAAGCAGACTTATTGACAGACCCGTTTAAAGGTGTGTAATGTTGGTAATGTTAGAATACAAGTAGTTTCTCCAGGTAGAAATTTTCCTCAAATTCATGACAAAATGTTAGCGGTAACTTTGCAATTGAGCCCAACTCATTGCCAGAAACATCATGTTAGAAGCTGGAAATATTTGTATAATCAGCAACACCACAATCATGGGCAAAATCAAAAATACCAACTCATCAGCGAATCCATAACATTGTTCTCATGATAGACTCAAGGAACATTCGACATGGGGAGATTTCCTACTAATCAATGATGCGATTTATCGGAATTCCTCTAAAAATTCTGAAGGCTTCTTTGGTTATCATGTCGACACTTTTACAATTGGAGGTCATGTGATTCACTTGTGATTTCAGGTTGCCATCCAATGGGGAGCTATCGGTGACGTCGGTCTCATTCTGGACTCTCTTGGTGGTGATAACGAAGCTGTGGTTGGAGGAACCCTGCCGCAGCGTATGTCATCTTGCTTAGCCGTTATGGACAACTTCCTTCAACAACCTCACCCTGTATTAGCCTCAACTGTCATTGCAGAGAAAGGACGAGGCGCTTCTGATGGCAACCAAATCAGTCTCACCGATGCTGTCGCTAACATTTTAGGTAATATAACTTTTTTTTTGTCTATGAATTTAATATGCATCTTTTCTAGTTTTTCTATGATTTCATCATTTGCATGTTGGGCCAAGTTGAACAGGAAGTTATCAAGTTGCATCGATATTGAACCGAGCAAAAGATGTTTGAAAGTAAGAAATAAAACTCAAAACTACCCCTAAATCATTTTTTTTCTGAATTGTGACTCAAATCCTCTGTTTGATTCAGCCTTATTCATAAACCCACTTCAAGCTCTTGCGTAAATTTTTCGTTGAAAGAGCCTAAGTTAATCAGTATTTTATCCTTTTTCCCCAATTTTATCCCAATGGAAGGCAGGAAACATTAATCTAAAAAGTGTTTGTATGTTTTTGTTTTTTGTCAAAGGAATTTAATAAACAGTTAAAGTACAAGTGCTTCATTATTCAGAGTTTTCTTCTTATTCTGGGAAAAAAGTTTAGCGTTGTGTTTTTCCTGCAATTTCTATCAGTATTGTAATTAGATGTCTCACTTTACAGTATCTCCAACAATGTGTCTAATCATCCACGTTTCCATGTTGCAGGTATTAAGGACACAAAAACAGTCAACACAAGTGTTTCTTTAGCCGACTTAGGAATGGATTCGCTCATGGGATCTGAAATCAAACAAACTCTAGAACGAAATTACGACGTTGTATTAAGTGCCCAAGAAATCCGAGGACTTACCTTCGGAAAATTACTCGACCTACAAAGCGGTGGCAGCAGTGAACCATCAGCCCCTGCCCAATCTCCTAGTAAAGATGGATCTCAAGTGAGTAATTTTTAATGTAAATTAGTGGGCTGGTCATTAAAATTGATAAACAAAGCGGTAGTCTAGTAGGAAAAATGGAAAATGAAGCGATCCTATTGGTTGAAACAAGTGGTTGTCGTAGACCAAGGGGAATGATGGAGTACCTATAGGGTCTCCTCTGGGTTGCTGTTAGTTAGTCTATTACTTACCTCCTTTGTCTATTGTAAGCATCTGCTTCCGCCAGTAGGATTGTTCCATTTTTTCTTTGTCTTCTTGGTCTATCGCTTAATCCATCAACTCCAATAATAAGTCTGCTGCTGTAATTCTGACGCAGCTGCTTTTTTGGGTTTGATTTTTCTCTTTTACCTTACTACTTTATGTACTTTCTTTCTAAGATTATGCAACATTTTAATCCTCATTAATTACATTTTTCATTCCAAGAACGTGACATTTCATTGTTTAGATCGACTTGAAAAGAATTTATGAATTTAAGCCAAATCATCTCATTTATGGATTTTTTTCCTCGCTCTTTTTATCATTGCACTGTTTGTTAATTTTTAACAAACCTTGTAAAAAATGCCTTAGAAGTAAATGTAAATAAAAGAGAAATGTTAAAGAATTGATGCTTTAAATTTTACCCACAGCTGATTTAAAAATCAAAGTTTGTGCCATATCCAAGTTATCATAAAATTTTCTAGAGGCAGCATGGAGATAATATTTTTCTTACGATTTTTATCACGCCTATCTAACCCAGTTTTCTACGTTTTGTGCAGGTCCAATTCAACAGTTCCCTCCCTGCTCTGATGCCGTCTGAAACTCTGGTAGAACTTGTGTCCAAAGCCAAATCGAGTCAAGCAGCTGGTCTCTTTGTTGTTCATCCGATCGAGGGAGTTGTCTCTGCGTTGGCCGGTGTAGCAAAAGAATTAAATGTTCCTGTGTGGGGACTCCAGTGCACAAAGAACGCTCCTCTTAGCTCTATTCAAGACTTAGCCGCTTCTTATATTCAGGTACTTTACTTCGTGTTCTGCATTGTATCTTAACACTGATTTGGTTCAACATTTTTAGACATTTTGCGTGCTCAAATGTTTGTAACATCTAGATTGTGTTACTAAGACAAGTATCTCTATTACAATGTTTCAAAATTTCTGCTCCTTTTCTAATTTTTTAAAAGAGAATCAGTGTATATTTTTGCCAAACATTTCCAAAGAAAACTTTTGGAAATGTGAAAAAGAGTCTTACAAAATTATGTCCAAAAACGATCTTCAGTTATCCTACTAAAAAAGTCAAATGTGAAAGAAATATCGCTAAGGGAGATTAGTGTTGTTATTTTCTTGATCTTTGCTAAATATGCAATGGCACCGATAACTTACTTCGGAGTTTTTCAGCACTGAATTTTTCTTTCTTAGACAGTCTCTCATATCATCTTTTAACTTTTAATGGACGTGTTCTGAAGAGTCTGAAATCCTAAAGATGTAACTTTAATTTGTAAAGTTTTTTAAATTCTATGATTGAATGTTGTGTTAATTATGGTTCACAGGAAGTGAAAAGGAAACAAAAATCTGGTCCCTACTCGTTAGCTGGATACTCATTCGGTGCCTGTGTTGCATTTGAGATGGGTCTCCAGCTAGAAGCTGCGGGTGAGAAAGTGTCCTTAGTTCTATTAGACGGTTCACCTGACTATGTTGCCAGTCATACCGGAAGCTACAAGCAGAAAAAGGAACAGAAAGGTGGACAACAGGCTGGCGATGCTGATGCTTTAACGTACTTCATTCAATTGTTCAAGGATGTTGACTACCAAAAGGTATCCACTATTTTCATTTTAAACTTATGTTATTGTTCTGAATTATGCTCTATTCTAAGGAATTCAAACATTACCTCCCAGCATTCATACCTAAAACATGGACCATCAAGTTCAGTAAAGCCTATTTAAATTTGTAAGCCTAATTCCTCAGAAAGTTTCAGTTTTTAAGAGGAAATTGTCCTTTTATTCTCATTGAGCTTCATTCAACTTTTATATTTAAATCATGAAATTTATTTCTTCAAGTAACCTTTTCATCATGACTCACCATTGCAGTTTGACTCCTTCTGCATTAGTGCATCCTGACCTACCAAACAAGGAATTATCTAACGTGTTTTTTAATTTCCTTTCGCAGACCCAGAAGGAACTGTCATCCTTACCTAGTTACGAATCCCGACTGAAGAAAGTGACAGAAATCCTAGCAGGTGCCACGCCTTACCCAGCTGCTGATCTTGCCACTGCTGCGGAGTCCTTCTACAAGAAATTAGTCGCTGCTGATGCATACAAACCAACCGGCAAATTCGGCGGAGAAATCACCTTAGTCAAAGCTCAAGATAACTATGTAACTCTCGGAAACGACTACGGACTAACACCTGTAAGTATTTCTACTCTCTAAGTAGTACTTTACAAAGTTAAAGTAGTAATAATATTTCAACGTTATGTCATAATGTAACAATCAAACTGCAATTTTGGAAAAAATAGGGACAATTTTCCACGATTTTTGGCGATTTCATAGCCAACCTCGAGGGTTTCTTGACTAAAAGAGGTAGGCAATCTGCATCACAACCAGCAATTGCAAACTATTGCTCCTTTATTCCAATTTATTGTAATATTATTGCAATGAATGTTCCTAATCTTGGCCTTCCAAATAGGAAAATAAGCAATCCACACATCTTGCCACAAAATTGCAATAATTTGACAATATTATTGCAACTTATGGCGGTCTCTGCTACTTGGGTCATTTGTTTTTACGAGTAAGCAAGGGTGGCTGCATGGTGATCGGTATGAATAAGATTGAGAAAGTAAATTATTGAGTATCTTTTTGCATTGTAAGGAGTTGGTTTTGTCTATTTTTTTACTCTCAAACTTTTTGTACTATAATGCATAATTATCACATCAGCAATTTGTTGTTGTTGTTTTTTTTTTTCATTCTTTAAAATTGCACTTCACAAGCTAAACACCCTCTTTCTTCCATTTTCTGTGGTTTTTTGCCGCATCCAAATGAAGCAGTTCATATGATAAGCCATCTTACATTGAAATTTTCTTCGGTCCATCAATTATTTGATTTAAGGAGATTTTACCTTGTGCCATTTTCTTACATATTGAAAAAAATTTTGGCAATACCAGCACCTAAAAAAGGATGGCAGCTAAAGCAGAAATTCTCGGTCCTGTCTGCTTGAAGCTTAGTGAACCATGCCAAGCTTTTGTTTGACTTCATCACCAAATTTTCAACATTTAGAACTGAGAATCTCAGCTGCAACTACTAAGCTTTTTTGGGTGCGAAGGCTACAACAAAGTATTTTTCTGTGTAACTTATGCTTTTCTTTTCATAGATAATCAAAAATATTTGCGGAATTTATCTTATTATTATTTTTTTTGTCACTTTTTCAGATCTGTAAGAAAACAGTCCAAGTTCACTCTCTAAAAGGAAACCACAGAGAAATTCTTCAAGGTGAAAGCGGCCACAAACTAGCCCAACTACTCAATTCAGGTCTAAATGCTGTTTGAAGAGCAGAACATGAAAAATCTGTTCCAATATCAGAAAGAGTGTATGTTGTGTAGTATATACCAATCTTTAATGACTTTTTCTATAATGAATCATTGTACATAAAATGTCTGAATACTTTTGTATTTATTTATATTTTTTTTTTTGTTTGATGTAAGGTATGACTTAGTGTCATACAACTGTCTTGTGACTAATGTCTCCCGCAGTGTAATGTTTTTTTTTTTGTTTTTTTTTGTCAAAAAAGTGATATTTTCTTGAGGGAAAAAATCTAAGTTCAAAATTCTTTATGGCCGGTGTGAGGCGTTATTTTTCTGTCGAAAAATATCTCTGATCCAAAACATCCATGTTTTGGCTGTTTCATTGCCGGTGCAAAAATATCTTTTGTAAGGAACTAAAAAGACCGTTGTTTTTTTTTTCCTTTTCCTTGTAGGAGCATTTATTTTGTACCAACAAAATTTGTTTGTTAAAGTTTTTTATATTTTCTTTCGATCGATTTCAAATTGATTATGACCAAGTTTTTACTGCTATTATAGTCGTAGACATCTGAGTCTTTAAACATTGAAAATCTGTTGTAGTCGAATTTCTTTAAATTACTTTTTGTTATCCTTATTTTTATGTTTAGCTCATTGTTTTTCGATGTCACTTATCCTGAGCTGTTTAAAAACCGCCCCTCCTTAACTGCAAAGTAGTGTCTCTCCTCCCCTTTCCCAAAATTGTGATAATTGATTATAAGTTAAAAGCATTTATGTAGTTCATGATAAGGTAAACACAAGTAGATGAAATCTATTGTGTCTGGTGTCTGACACCGAACGGGTGTTTTCCTTTACAGCTGACACAGGAGTCTATTTCTAATTGGTAGTAGATTTATCCTTGACATAGTCTGAGGCTAAAAGTCATAAAATTCTTGGAAAATGTCCTACATTCCAGATTCTTGACAAGCATTTCCTTTTCTGCCAGCCAATTTCTGCTTCCCTGATCTTTTATTTTAATTTTTTCTTTTTTCTACAGTTAGAGGAATAGAAAGAAAGAAAAAAAAAAAAAACTTTGGCAGAATTTAACTTAATTGCTGTGAATTAGCATTTATATTGCTTTCAATTCAAGTAGATCATCCGTCAATTTTCTTCTTCTTTTTCCCGGAATGCTTGTCGCAATTTTCTGGAACTCCCCCCTGGGATATCTGAAGATTTTCAGGATATTTGACTGGTGTTTAAACTGGAAATCATTGGAAAATTTGTAAAAAATGTCTATACATTTGCACGAAAAAATTATCATGTAGTGAGTAAATTGATTTGCAAAAAAAAAAAATATAGAAAAAAAAGGGAAAAATTAAAGTAAAAAAGTTGTAACAAAATAGAAGGGGGAAAATTATTTGAATATTTAGGAAATGTTGTATGAAACACAACATTCTCTTAGTTTTTAATATCTTTGGGGGAAAATTCAATGTAAGGGTTTTACAATGGCTGTAAAAAGGTCTGTCATTGAAGTATTTTTCGGTCAAAACATTCCATTTTCTTTTCTGTAATAAGTCTCTGTTAGGTAGTCAAATTTTAGAATGTACGTCGTTTGACTGCTCTCCCTAGTGTCAAACAGATCTTCTCATCAGCAATTTATTTTATTCTGTTTTTATCAATCCAACATAAAAGTATCAGGTGTCCCTTCGACACTTGAGAAAAAATTTTCCCAAAATGTGCATCAAAGCTATTGTAATTTTTTTTCTTATTTTGCATCATTTTGGATTTCAAACGTTCCCTCCATTCAGTCTTAACTATTTAAATGTCTGGTGCATCCCTACTGAATGAGTAATCATTGTTAATATTTCAACCACCTTTTCTACAAAGAAGGAAATTAATGACCCTTTTCAGCCATTCCTAAAATGTCAAATTCCCAACATCACAAACATAAATCGTAAGTGACTAATTTTTTTTGTCAGTTGTCTAATTCTTTCTTATTTTATGTGGAAGTAACTGAAAGTTTGTATCATTTCCATCTTAACTCACAAAGTGAAGTTCTGTAGATTTTAAAGGAAGAAAAAAAGAAAAAAACAAAAATTGTGATGGGAGTTAAAAACATGTGAAGTGTTAGCTCAAGATCCTAATTTTTTTCTGTGTTAGTAACTGATTCGCTTAGGATTTCTTTTTTCAAATATGTAATTTCATTACATACTATTTTCCAGATTATTTATATTCCCTTTCTTGGTTTATGTTTTGTAAATATTTTATGAACTGATAAATTTAAGTGTTAAAAAAAAGAAAGTCGTTTTCAATTTATTTTTGTTAACCAACAATCCTGCAAACTAAAACAAATTATCTAACAAAGTTTTACATTTTTATGTAAGAAAGTTTTCTTAACGCCTATTCAGAGGCCAAGATTTTAAAACCAGCAGCCTGATTGTTGAAATTCATGTCGACACAAAGAGAACCGAAAATCGATATATTACAAGGCGCATAAAGGGCTATGTCTTGTCTTATCTTGCCGACATAGCCAGTTAGTTTCAACTATCAGACTGCTGGTGTCCTAGCAACTTTCAATGATAATGGCTCACTTAAATAAAGTGTGCCTTTAATCTAAAAGAACTGTACTTAAACTCCTCTCCTGGAAAAGGAGACAAACTCTAGGGGCAACGCTAGCTCAATTTCATTCCAATTCTTGGAAACTCGACTCGATGCCTTAATGCATAAATGAATGACTGAATTACCTTACCTATTTGAAATATTCCTCGGGACTGATCAGAGTTACATGAAAATTTTATGCCTGCGTATTGTAAATAGTTGTACCCTTCTCCCATTAATATCGAATTACAGATCTCAGGAGCTTCAGAAGTTGATAAGAGAAACCTAAGGTTGTATTTAAGAGTAAACCGTGACTGTAAAACTGAGGTTCCTTCATTATCAAGCTGGTTGTTGAAACTTACTTAGAATGCTATAGACAAAGAGAAAATGGAGCAATCCTGTTGGAAGTTGGTGGTTGCAGTAAACAAAGGAGGTAAGTAGTAGAGTAACTGACGGCAATTTACAAGAGACGATATCGTTAGTCCAATATTTTCCCCCTCTATGGTCTGTGAAAACCATCCATTTCAACCAATAGGATCGTTTCATTTTCCTATCGTCTTTCTTTCCAGAATTTCAATTATCAGCTTGTAGTTGTCAAAAAAAAAAAAAAAATAACTTGTTGGCCATTCAATATCGAATTGACAAGATCCAGAATCTGAAAGAATCCCTGCCTTGCATCAAATTTTTTATCCAGGGTCAGTTCACTTAAAATACGCTATTTGCCCGATCCACGGCTCCCCTTACATCTTACAATTTTAGTAAGTGATTTACACCAATGGATCAACTGTTGTAGGTAGTAAAACTCAGGGGAAACCAATCAAACTGGTGTAAGCAACTATTACGGCCCTCAAGTTGCTCATTTGGCCTATCTTAGTTTTTGAAGGCGAACTGATCAAATCGAATCCTGCATACAGGCATACACCCTTGCAGAGCACTCACAATGGAGGCTCAGACCTCCCCCACCCCTCAACTCGGGAGTCGTGCAATCCATAGGTAGCCTCCGAGGCTGGATGAGGACTGCATGAGCTCTTGTTCATTATATGTGTTTAGAGTTTCCATAATTAAATTTTCCAATGGGGCCTATGTAAAAGATCACTGACAATGAGAATATTGCTCTGCTCTGAGGTGTTCTCTTAGGAAAATTCAAAAATCCCGCGTAAATTGGAATTCTGGATCGGCAGCGCTGAAGTGGCCGTGGTTCTAACTAGCATTCAAAACATAACCTACAAAACAAGCAAGTGGCAAGCAAGTGTGTACTTTTTTCAATACCCATTGTGAACTCCATGCTCATACTTCACAGTACTTTTTAATTTTTCTACTAGCATGAAAGCAATGAGTTAGATTTGGATCAAAAAGTTTCTCTCACCTCCTCTTTGATAAGTTACATTTATTTTTATTCACTGTTAGTCCAACATAATCCAAGGAAGAAGGTTGAGCATCTCTCTGGGCCTCCAGGTCTTTGGAAGATAACTTCTCCAGAAGCTGTTTATACCTGCCTTTTCAAGCGAAACCCTCAAAAATGAGTTCTGATACAGAGGATCAAATAACTTCTCCGGATGAATTCTATGAAAAGTGCTACAACCACTGGTCAAAAATTCCTGCAACCATGAACGGTGTATTGGATGGCCTCAGTCATATTTCTTGCATAGATGTTAGTGGCTCAGAAGAATTTTTAGAGAAAATTTATAGAGTAAGTGCCTTGGAATTTTTTTTACAACCACCTATCTTCTACACGCACTATATTCCAAAGAACACTTCAGAAATGGTCGTGGAGATTGGTGCACTCGTTCTGCTTGTGGTTTAAACAAATAACTCTTAATGAGTGCCACTCTGTTTGTGTGCTTACGCCACTCACAATGTCAAAGTACTGTCCAAAAATATATATTTCTGCCCCCCAAAAAAATTCCATTTTTAAAATGAAATTTCACAACAGGCTTGACAGGGAGATAAGACCAAAAACAATTCCATGGATTCGGTAACCGCATGGAATACTCCCTCCTCATGTGCTGAACTTTCTATGACACTCTCCACCTAGGAATCTATTGATAGTTTGTGGCATCTTAAGTTAAACTCTATGTAGCACTTTAGTTTTGGAGCTACAATTTCACTCTGTAATTCACTCATATTTACCTGTAAGAGGGCGGTTACAATTTTTTTTTAAAAATTTGTTTTGAATTTTCCTCCTTGCTTGATGAAAATAAGGCATGCACCCATAATGATCAAAGACATTATCACTTGGCAGGTGATATTTTGCAAAATTACATTGTAATCAAGTCCCTTTAGCTCTGGTGCCTTCCATTAGGAATAATATTCTGAAAAATAATGATGTTTACCGGAAGCCGCAGCTGGATTTATGGAAAGTAACTGAGGTGATTATTTTAGGCGGCAATGTATGGAAGTGAGCTGACAGGTATTGAAAGCAACACTCACCAATTGAGCGATACGATGCAAAATGAAGTACAAGACTGAATTAAAAAAAAAGAAAATCTACAAATGAAGAAGGTACCTCTAATACCTACAGGCGGTCAAATTGTAAAGCCGGCTCTGCATGAAAAATTTCTAATGAGTCACAAAAATTGTTAAATTTTTCTTACGTTGTTATAACTTTAATTGTTGATGTAGACTCCTCAGCATCCCGGAAAATCCAGAGCTCTTGATTGCGGAGCTGGCATCGGAAGAGTCACCAAGTATCTACTGGCAAAATTCTTTGACAAAGTTGATTTAGTCGAACAGAATCCAACATTCATTGAAGAAGCTAAAAAAAGCCTCAGTTCTAACCCAAAGGTTGATCAATTCATCTGTGTTGGTAAGCTGGATACCTACGGCATGTTAAAGTTAAATAATTTTCTGAAACAGAATTGAAAGAGAGAATAAAATATGTTACCATTATCCAAACCAATAAAATGCGTATTTGAATGAAATATGAACAGAGGTTATTAAAATTTCTCTACATCCTGTTGGTCTCAAAAATCTGTCACTTCATAAAAAAAGAAGATGGGAGGAAGTTTTTTTTACGCACATCTCCTTTTGATAATCTCAGCTAGAAAGGATATTTTACTTGAAATCAAAGGTTTCAAAATGAGAGGTATTTCTACTTATGCCAAAAGTAACAATTTTTCCTGATTTTTTACGTTTGCAATGCTCAAGTGGAAGTTCACGTAAGTATCTCCATTAGGATGGTCCCAAATCACCACCACTCTTTTATTTTTTAAGAGAAACAACCTACCTTTATCGCTAAAAATTCACACAGTATATTCTGGTAACAGAAAAAACATCAAGGAAATTTTCAAGAAGTTACGTTGATCAGTTTTCCAAAGAGCAAATGACCGGAATGAAATCTGCAACGTTGCAAACGGAGATATGTAGTATTACACTTTGGCCACGGATATGCATGATTTCCAATAAAAAATTACCATCTAGCGCCAAGCTGAGAAGATGGCAAACTTAATATTTTCCTTGTCTTCTTTGTCTGATAAAGTTTTGATGAGAAGAGTGTTAACATCAGTATACAAGATTTCAATTTTTCAAGCTCCAGGGATGAGTGGTATTTTTCATAAGCTTTCTCAAGTTCCTGAAAAAAAAAATGACCATCTATTGGAAATCTCCTCTAAGTAATGGCTGTGGCTCATGTTTTTTCTACAATCTGTGGATCACAAAATCAAGGAGTTGTGTATCTCAGACTTAATTTATCTGTTTTTAAAGTGCTTTTAATGTAGGAATGATACACAGCTTTTTTTTGTACTCACAAGGCCTCTATTTTTTTATTTATTTATTTATTCATAACAAAATGAATTTAGCACGTATTAAAATGCATGTATTGATTTTTCCCATCTTCTGAAGATTTAAAACGAGGTACTCTCCTCTCTTCTTCTGCCAAATAGGTCTGCAAAATTTTATGCCGGACTTAGAAGGACCTAAGTACGATGTAGTCTGGATTCAATGGGTTATGCAAAATGTTGTAGATGAAGATGTGGTGAAGTTTTTAAAAAAATGCAAGTAAGTGTTCGATCCTTGTTTTCTACATCTTTCTTTTTCAAAACCTGTTTAAATGCGAGCGGAATTATCAATATTTGAATTTATGCATGCTGAATTGGACTGTTAAAACAAGCACTTGGTATCAGTTATGTAGCAGTTTTGTGTTCCTAATAAACCCCTCAACTTTTAAGTATTTTCCCACAAAAAAAAAAAAAAAAAAAAAACAATTCATTTTTAAATCAGGTCCAGGAAATTTTTGTGTCCAGGCCAGAGTTCTTTGCCCTCCTGACATGAAGATGTAACTACACTTCTCACTTCACGCAAATTGTAGTTCCTAATTGTAAAATATGGTCCATTTCTTGTCAGATATAAACCTTGTATCTCGTTCGCAGAGTTTTAAAATCTCCGCCCTTGCTTTATTTGTTCAAAGGAGAGAAAATCAATATCATTCCCTGAAGTTTTTACCGAAAAATTTTCTGCTTGGAAAATATAAATCACGACAGTCTGTAAGAATTGCTTTCTAGCAGTTTTCTTGCTTAAAAATAAAATATGACAAGAAGTTTGCAACGTCGCAAAGCAAGATACATGGTTGGGGAGTTACATAATCGATCAAAATTTTATTGAATTTGAAAGTAGATGGATTTTTTTTTTTTTTGCTGGTAAAATAATTTATTTTTGTTTGCAATTTTCAGATTGATTCTTAACGAGCGAGGCATCATTGTGTTGAAAGAAAATGTTACATCGTCTGATGAGGATGACATTGATACCAGTGATTCAACCATCACGCGGTCATGCAAGTCCTACAACCGGTTATTCAAAGAAGCAAAATTGCACTGTTTTAGAACGAAAGTTCAAAGAAAATTTCCGAAAGAACTATACTCGGTAATGATGTTTGCTACGAAACCATACAGCAAAGAATCAGTCAAGTGACTTAATCTATTATAGGGGTGCTTTGAAAGAGTAGTATTTTTCATCTGGTCATACTCTACATTTCAGTGAGAAAATTAGACCGTAAATTTTATTCAAAGTTGAATAAAACCTCGGAAATAAGAACCCAGGTTTATGAAACCTTGAAGCAATATTCTCTAGGAATTATTCGCACTTGGCACTTGAGTCTTGAACTGTTCCAAACAGACCAAAATTCAAAACTTGCTTATTGCAAAGTACTGCAGTCTTCATTGCTGCAGCGCTTTATCTTGAGTCTGGATCTGTTGGTAACAGAATGATATGCAACTTCTGAAGTGATCAGACTTTATTTCTGAATCTGTGGTGTCCAAGACCTAGCACCCTCAAAATAATAATTTATTTGGAATCAAAACATGTGAAGCTGACGAAATGAGGCATACGCGTTTTCTCAAGATCAAAATTTCTTAAGAGAAATTAATATCTATTTTTAGCGCAATTTTATCAAGCCATTCTACTGTGCTTGTAAACATAACTGAATGGATATTGAGGCCTTGCCAAAGCTCTAATTAAATACCAATTTTCAGGGAAACCTGTCAGTTTTTTCTCCGCATTGTTTCGCGCATTTTATTTGCAATTTAATTTTATGACTCCAAGAGTTATAAGAGGGAAAAATGCATTATTTTCTTCTAAAATGAATGATTTATCAGTGAGACTTTTGCAAAATTCAAATGCTTGTGAAGCACAGTGTTTTTTTTGGACACTTAGTGTTGAAGTTGATTTAAACAAGGGGATAATCTCTAAGTCACTCTAGCGTTTTATTAGCATCTGTTGTATGACAAAGCTGTTGTGAATTTGAGAAAAACATAAAATCTAAGTATAAAAAGTTACTCCTTATTGGAAGCTTTTACGAGTGCTTGACCTGTTAAAGATGCATCAGTGTTTTTTTACCACAATTCCTGCCATTATTATCTGTATTTGCACAATTTTGAACATTTTGATATTTTTTTAATTCAATGAACTAAGGTTTTCTGGTTTTGTTTGTATTTTTCTACTTGTAATGTTACTAGCAGCAACTCAGATTAATTTAAGTATCGCTCAGTGTTCATCGGCTCATTCAACAGAGTTTTCTTAGGCTCTGATCATAGACTATAGTATTCGCTCATCATTTAAAAATTCAAAGTTTTCATGTGTTATTGTTTGGTCAACTTTTTTGTTTGCTTTTATAAATAAACGTGCTCTTTTTAAGGGTTTCTTATTTTTTCTCTTGCATATCATCTGAAGTTTAATTACTTTTTTCCTACCTTTTCTCCACTCAGTTAGAAAATTCTGCAATCTGCTCTCTGCAGTATCAAACACTCTTTCAAATGGTTTTAAAGCTGAATTGAGTAAATGTTCCAGTTTGCCTGAAGCACGATGAAACAGCAGCATTATGATTTCTCCAGTTAAAACTTTAATCAATCTTATCTGTTTGTGCTTTACAAGTCAAACAAAAGCAACTGAATGTTAGTTTTTAATAGGCAATCAAGTAATTAGATGACTTAAGAAACACCATTGAAAATCTTGGACACTGGTCATCAGTCAGTGATTTCTCCAAATTTTATAGGAGGTCTTGAGTCCTCCCGAAAAATAATTTTGAAAAGTGTTTATAGAAGTCGATGCGACTGGAAATGAGGGGAGACCATATGGATATATTTTAAGGGAGGCTTACAATGTTGCAATCTGAGATCTGAGGTATGCACTTTCTGCTTTTAGCCATCGATATGTCACCACTTTGATAAGTGAGCACTCAAGTCAATAAATATCACCCCAATTTCATATAGACATAGGTAATAGTTTGGTTCATGTGCAATTAAACTGGAAACCCAATAAAAAATTTCGGTAAGTGCTTATAGCTCAAGTAAAAGCAGAAAATTTTTGCAATAGGTGCATAATTATATTGATTTAAGATCATGTTATTATACCACTCGCAGTAGTCGCAGTAGATCCTCAGACTATACTTTGAAATTTCCCGCCGAGAGCACAACCTGTTAACCCTCGATGTCTTCCAAATGCTCTGCTGTCTAATCAGTTTTTAAGGTTAAATATTCTTATCACAACAAACTGGAACTAAAATAAAAGGAGTGATAATTGCCTCGTATTTAGATTTAGATCACCGTTTTTCTTTCACACCAATGTTCCTTATAATTTGAAAATGATACAAATGTCAGTATCGCGTCTAAAACTGTTGCATTACTTTAATGAAAGTCTACCAGTTTTTCCCACCAGTTAAGAAGTTACTTATCATAAGGTAAGGGTGTTGTGATCTATTCATGTCAATTCCCAATTGATTACTTTTATACCCAGTAATCCAGTCTCTAGTGTTCTTCATTAGGTCATTTTGCTAAAATATTATCGTTTTTCCGAACCTCCTTACTCTTCTTTGACTCTGAAATCTCGAATGGCTTTCATGTTTTGATCCCATAGCAAAACGTTCAGACTCTCAACATCGATTAAAGGGTAATACTATTACGCTTCGCTAATTAGAAAGAATGTGACTCCTCAATATTTTGATTGCTCATGTAGGTAGTTTAGCCCAGTTAATAACTCCAAATCATTATCTACGGACTGAGTTTAAGTCTTTAAGTCTGTTTGCTAAAGCAGTTCTAACCTTTGAATGAACACCCTCTGCCACTGCAACAATCGCCTTTTCCTGAGAATTTCCTGCTATTAATTTGATCTACACATTGGTCAATATTTTTAAGATTAATGTTGGTATAACTACCATCATTCATGATCTGATGATTTTTGCAATTGGCTCTGCAAGTTTGCTGCTCCATTTAATTTTAGTTAGACTATCAGAATACCCAGTCATTCTGATTGTTTGTTCCGACGCAATTTTTACCCTTCGGATCTCGCTCAAGTAGCAGTTGCCCTTAGTTCATTGTGTTCTGGTTTCTGTTTTCAGATGTCAACTGGAACAAATCTTGTTGTTCCTGTGGTGTTGTGGGGTAAAAATCCTCCCACCCACTGCATATCCACCGTTTTTCTCTCTGATGATCAGTGCTCTCTGGTTACCGGCTGTTATGATGGTCAAGTTTGCATATGGCAGGTGGATCCTGAAACTTTAAATGTAAGCAGTATATCCATCACTGAAGAATGATTATTCTTTCTAATTAAATTCCATAATCGTGACCGCCCACATAGAAATGGACCTTCATTGATGGAGACCAAAGGTAGCGAAGGGATTTTGTCAAGTCGGGTCGGAAAATTGAATTTTGATACTTAGATAGGAAATTCTCCAGGCTCTGAAGGGGTCATTATTTTTTCCTAACGAAAGGTGCCCCCAAAGTTTCACCTTAATCTTGCCATTTTATGCCCCCAGTATGACATTCTAGAGTTCTACGAAGCTTTTTTCTGAAAACAGCATGGTTTGAACAGCAGTCCTCAAACTGCCAGAACTCCAGTTTGGTTTGACATTTTACAAAGTTGCTTGTTACCAGAGCACTGGAGTAAGGCCCCTTTTCTCATGGGCAATCACAACTCGATTCAATATCAATTACTTCATCAGCAACCTGATTGTGAACATTTTGGGTACATATGTTAGACAAGCCAAGAGTGCTGTGAAATGGAGCCATATGACTGGTCGGCCTTGTTGTTAGGGCGTCTGCAGAAGCCGCTTCTTGCCGCTTATCCCACTGAATAATCAACTATAGTCTGTTTCACGAAAACTGAGACTTTTTATTCGGCATTAAAATTCGTAAATGGCAACGCATCAGTCTTGGACTCGGGTGACCGTCTGACCGTACCGCTCGCCGGACATCCTCTTTTGTTCAGCGACCATAGGCCGGCAACCCATCCATTGTGAGGGTAGGATCAATAGACACCCTTCACCCCTCCTTAATGGGCCCTAGTAACCGGACCAAAATTTTTTTCTCGCTGAAAAATTCATCTTTTGGCGTGAAAATTTAGTTCCAGCGTGAAATTATGAGAAAAACGCACTAAAATTCAGTCCAATTATTTTAATTTTGAGCTGATACATGGCATTTCGCGGCGAATCGCGGTCACGCGCAAATGATGTATATCAGCTCAAAATTAAGATAATTGGACTGAATTTTAGTGCGTTTTTCTCATAATTTCACGCTGGAACTAAATTTTCCCGCCATAAGCTGAATTTTTCAGCTAGAAAAAAATTTTGGTCCGGGTACTAGGGCCCATTAAGGAGGGGTGAAGGATGTCTATTGTTCCTACCCTTACAATGGATGGGTGTCCGGCGAGCGGTACGGTCACCCGAGTCCAAGACTGATGCGTTGCCATTTACGGATTTTAATGCCGAATAAAAAGTCTCAGTTTTCGTGAAACAGACTATAGCTAAAGGTACCTCTTCGCTGGCCGATAACCAGTCAATTATTCGGCCCAATAAGAGGTAAGAAGCGGCCTCCTTGAGCACCTCAATGACAAGACAGACCTACCATAAAATTCCACTTCACATTAGTCTTGTCTTGTCTACTAGATAAACGCAAAATTTCAACAATCAGGCTGCGGTATAGTCAGGCAAATCTTGCTTTGATTGACTGCAGACTTCTGCATGAAGAAAATCAGCGTGATATCTACCAGGTGTCAATCGGAAAGAAGGTCAAGTCACTTTTTTTAGGCTTATTTCCTCTCCAAAAAAATTTAATTTTATGTGTCATCTAAGGGAGATTTGTTTTTGACTCCAATAGTTAACGTAAAAATCTTGGTAATTCGTCAGATCAAAAGTGTAAGTAATGAAAAAATCCAACTTTGCAGATGACGCCGAGATGTCTTCTTGTCGGACACACAGCACCCATCCTATGTTTAGCCAAAGCAAGTATTGCAGATGAAAATAATTACATCATTAGTTCCTCTGAAAGCGGGTAAGTTGCACATTTTATTTTGACTTGGTCAACAAGATCAAGTAAGACACTCTAGCCATCATTATGCTAAGACATGCATTTTGGCATCAGTAAAAGCATTGAAATTCTCAAGCATTTTCAGGAATTTTCTGAATCATTATTGTTCATCCAATCTTTTCAATTGATAATCAATACACTGAACGAACTTAAAGAAAAATCTTAAATCTTTGAAGAATAAGAAATTATTTCAAGAATGTTTATGTCAGGATTTAAGCAAAACAATCATTCCAACAAGCCATGCGGACTAATTGTTGAAATTGATGGACGAAGGAGACATAGGTAAAATTTAGCGATCCAAGTATTGGACTACCGACAAAACCTACAAAAGACCCTTTAATTAGTCCATCATTTTCCCCCTCAGTCCGTAACAACCATCCATTTCGACTTTCGGTCGCTCCATTTTCCCTTTGTTTTATTTGTCTGTCGATTTCAGTTGATAATTAGTCTGATGGGAAATCAACCTAGACTGGCTTTTGTTTTATCTCTCCAAGTTTTCTCTGGAGAAACCCTTGATGAATATCACCTTGAAATTTTGGTCAAACCTGTGACCCACTATCAAATGAACTCGTCAAATGCTAGATAGTGGAGATTCGTACTGGTTCATCAACATTTAACGACCCGCCAACTTTTGATAGTGGACTTGCGCGAAAACCAGTACGCATCTCCATCATCTTGCATTTGATGAGTTCATTTGATGGTGGGACACGGGTTTTAGATGTATGCACTTCTTAATGTACTAATTTGTTTTCTTCCAGGGAGATGTGCACATGGGATTTAGTAGACGGTAAATGTAAGGAAGTTGCAAAACTGCCCTATGTTCACACGCATATTCAGGTAAACATTCATTACTGATGGTGTGTCTTCACAGCCTACTCACATAAACATAACCTCTTTGTCCCTTTATTAATCAGGGGCAAATTTTCCCATTTACTGGCCCTAAGCTGCTATTATTTTGCTGTCTCCGATCAATCACAACTGAATCTACTATATTGCTGCCTCTGAATTTCGACACCACCCCTCCGCCGAGAGAAAATTATTGATTTCACAAAGAACTTAGTGTTTTTAGTCGTGNAAAGCAACCAAACTGTGTCAGAAATGTTCCCAAATTACTAGGTAAGGCTTTTATCAGCTCATCATCTGATCCAATAATTTTAATTGTGGCATTTCATTCGGCATGTCGCCGCACGACTTCTATGATACTCAAAGTCTCACATATATAATTTGAAAGGGGGGGTCTGGGGGGGCGGCGCCCCCTCAGCAGGTAGCTTTTGCTACTTGTTTTTGCTACCTATGGTGAAACTTTAATGTCAATAACGATTTGGTTCATTGGCAACACTTGTTTTCCTCCATTAAAATTCACTAAAAATATCTATGTTCGGTGAGGCAAGCTGCCTCACCAAGAATTGATTGTTTTGCACACATTTAAATAAAAGAAGAACAGTGTTGCCAACATACCAAATCACTATTGAGATTGAAGAGAGAAAACACATATCACAATCAGTGTTCAAAACTCACCTTTAAGTTTCAGGAGCCATGTGGCCCATCAAGCTCGATTTTTAGGGGCCAAATTGACTATTTGCCTTTATATCACGGCGCATTCAGTGAAAAGTCAGAATCTGATGCCATAAGTCGAAATTTCAAACAATCACCCAACAGAAAAATTAGGATTTTTTTGGGGGAATTCTCAGAGGACATGTTTGCGCAGAGCCTTCATTGTTTAGGCGCCATGACTGTTTTCTTAGGCGCATTTGGCGCGTTGATGCCTGTGAGTTTCGAACACTGATCCAATGCTCTAATTCACATCTTGTCTAGTGATCCATCAAGGGCGAGAAAGCTCATTGAAATTTTCCGGATTCATCTAGATATGTATTGTGTAATCAAATCAATAATAAAAGAATACAAATCTTTTAATTTTCCCCTTATTTGGCTGCTAAAATAGTGGATTTATTGCTTTTAGAATAGAATCCACCAAAGTTCAGGAGGCTGAAGTATATATTCTTCAGACCACTGTGTTCGTCCATTTGAAGCCATTCTGAGTTTGAGCCATATGAATTGCTATTTCAATCTATTTTTTTTCCTCTCTTTTTCATTTTATCTTCTTGTTGTGCATTTACCTGATTTATTTATCATTTTTTGATTTTCTAGTCATACTGTGTCAATGGATGCAGTGATGTCTGGCTATTTTGCAACGGTTACTATGCAGAAGTTCTAATAATGGATCCGTTTAGTTTAGAGATAATGTTTTCTCTTGTCTCAAGAGTTAACCCCGATTGGATTAGTGCCCTACACGTTTTGAGACCCATCAAAAGGAAAGGTAGGTGTGAAAAAAACTTTTTGTGGCCAAAGTGGTTCTTTTGTTTCATTTGAGAAATGTCTGGAAATATTTAAAAAAGAAAAATCAGAGGAAGAATAAGTTAAATAGATTGTGTCTTTCAGAAAAAAAAATAATAAACAGTGTATTTTCCAGAAAATACACTAAAAATGAGAACATATCATTAAAATTAATTAAAGTATCATTGCAAAACCCATAAAATTTGGTAAGTTGGTAAGTTATATGATCAGACGAAAGTTAGAAAAGTGTGGTTAAATTTCAGGAAGAAATTAGGCTGAACACCAATTCACTCCAAAGTTTGACTGAATTAGTAGAAATTGACTAATCATTAAAATGTCGTTGTTTTATTTTGTTCAAAATAAAGTTCTCATTTTGCATATTGACGGTGAAAATACCAGGTCATGTCTTGCTTTGCGATGTTGAAGATTTCCTTTCATAATTCATTTTTAAATTGAAAACTACTCAACGTTAATTCTTGAAAATTTCTGTGATTTTCTTTCTCTGTGCAAAGAAAGCTCGGAAACTTCAAGGAATGATATTGATTTGCCCTCCTTTACGAAAATAAAATTGGAGCAGATTTTTAAACACTGCAAACGAAATGTGTGGTCTTGTAGTATCATCATCGATATTCCAGTTTTTTGGTTGAATTAATTTTGAGGTCACTATGGAACATATGAGCTGAAATATTTATTCTAATCATGGTGATCTCAGTTATCAGTGAATATCAAGTAATTGAAAACTGATGAGGGAAACCTCGCGTGACTAATCCTCTTGTGTATCCTTTTGTAGACGACGTCGTCCTTGCACTAACCACAACGGGAGTTGTAAAGGTATGGACTTTGACTGGCAACGAAACAAAAACATCTGAATCTATTTATGAGAACGAGAGCAAACCAATTAGGTGTTTAAATGCTCTGACAATGACTTGCTGTGCTCAAAATCAACGCACTGTGCTTATAGTCTGTTCAAAATATTGGCAGGTGAGTTTCTTAATTGTTGCTTAATCATACAGGGATCATTCTCTTAGTTCGGAACATTTTTCTTCAAAAACACATTTCCATTGTCTCAATAATATATCAATGTACTGAAAAAATGAATTTTAAATTGCAAGAAATTATACAGCATCAATTTACAATTGGGAGGAACGAGGCTAAGAAAAGGACAAAAAACCATGGAACGTTTCGCCCGAAATTTCTGGCATTTTCAACCAAGAAAAAAGGCTGAAATTGAAGTGTATCCATCTCTGGATTCACAATATTCAAAATTAAGAAAGTATGACGTTATGAACTTCCAAATGCATTTTTAAAACTAGATTTGCTGTGGGCGTCAGTTCTGAAAAATCATTCACTTCTTAAAATTGACGGTTCTAATTTTTATTCTTTGAAGATCTATGATGCGGGTGACTTCTCAGTACTGTGCTCAGTTATGCCTCCAAGAAGCGAACGTTGGCAAGGAGGTGAATTCCTATCTCCTGAGCGAGTCCTAGTGTGGTCAGATGAAGGGAAAGGCTATCTTTACAAACTTCCTGCCAAGTAAGTTGTGTGTAGCTAGTGCTCAGAACTTGCACTCTTTTGTGTTTGTCAAGCCGCACTTCAATTTCATTTGTTTGCTTTAACACACGAACATTGAAGGCCCTCTCACCTGCATGCCTCTGAAACTAACATATTTCCTAAAACATGATAAAAAAATTACAAGCTCCATGATTACCATACAGTAATCCCTTGAGTTAGCGGATAGCGATTTTATGGATTCTGCAATTTAACAGATGGATCCTTCGGTCCTTTCAAAAGCTTCTAGCTGTTTCGAATTAACCCATTCCGCTCTTTAACGGATTGATTTGTCAATCCTGTAAAATGCCGTAAAGCAAGCCCATACTGTAGTTACTATTTTATCAAATATAAATCACAATGCAACACTCTTTATTTTCGCTGGGGTAAAATAAATGTTTTAAAAGATAGAAGTGCAACTTATCATCCCAGTTCCACAAACAATTGTAATGTGCGAAATGGAAATAATTTATCGCCTCCTCAAATCAACCTCAAATCTTTTCTATGTAGAAAAGTGCCCGTACATTTCGTAACTCATCGAAAGGAGGAGAGGAGTTTTTTGTTTGCACTTAGATCTGTCAGGCTAAGATTTTTTAAGATTTAGAGGCTAAAGTTTAATATGCTTTGCTTCACATTATGATCCTATTTTTAGAAATCGTGGAAGATCCACACTCCCGTAATATGAAAAAAGTCGGTGCAGTTGAATTGGCTGAATTTTTGTCTTGTCTTAAATCTGATCTTCCCGGTAAAAAGTCTCAGTAGGGAGATCTCAAATGAGAGGGAGTTTTGACCTCCCAAAAATCCAATACTTTGGACCAATACAATTGTTGTTTTTTGCAACTTACTTGATGTTCACTGCAAAAACCTTTTAGTCCAGATTTCAAGAGTGATTTTAGAAATTTTAAGAATAATTATGGTGTAAAGTGTTTAATAATGGTACAAAATAAATTTATCCTTAGAACGAAAAATTAATTGATATTGGTCATGGGATGATATCAAATTTATCCAATCAGATCAAATTTGGCAGGGGTCATGATGTAGACAAAGGAAAAAATATTTAAAGCAAGATCAATAAAATTTTAACTCATTCGCTTAAGGGTTACACAAATGCCACGCTATAAAGTTTACTTACTATTGTCATGAACCCTTCCTAATTTTACCCAGAGATGTATCATCAATAGTTTTTAGTGCAGCTAGTTGACTTCTGAATGTTGACTCTTCTGAAATTTAAAAGATTAATCACACATTTAATCAAACCTAAACCTTGGTATAAAGTTGTGTCCATATTTTGCACCACTATGCTTTTTCTGTTTCGAGCACATCATTAGCAATAGACACATAATAGTGAAACTCCGAAAAGGCGTGCTGTAATTATCTCCATTTTGCAGAGGATAAGAAAGGGAGCAAAAAATGAATAGCACTTTTTCAGAGTTTAGTCATTGTCATTCATAAGAAATTCATGTTTCATCTGATCAAATACTTTTATTATCATAAACAGGATACTCAGTTTTGAGCGTTTAATCCAAAAATAAAACCTTTGCATTTCCCTGAAGTCAAAACAAATAGTAGTTGTTCATCCCAGCAAGTCAAAAAATATCGTTCTTGTAGTAGATTGTCAAGGGTGAACTATTAATTGGTCGCATTCAATATTGTTGTCAACATTTTTTTTCCCATCACTTCAAAGAGACCTGGTGTGTATGTGTGTGCTCAAGACAATATTGCAAAACTGCCAAGTTTGACTCGCAAGATCATAAAGTATTGATAACGGTTTGAATGTATTTGCATTGGTGCAATCAAAATGTGATTTTGTTGTGGTACGTGTTGTGTAAAACAGTGCGGTTGTTTTTTAGAATTGATCAAAAACAAATATTTAATCTTTCTTCCTCTAACTCTTATACCTTTGATTTTTGTTACACTAGCAAGCTGAGAGGAAAGTTCATGGGTACTTCAGGGTATGCATTACTTTCAATTATTTTCTCTCGTTGAAATGGGCTAGAGTGAAATTTTTTACGACAGCAACTTTAAGGAGATAGTAGTCTCTTGGATTAATGACATTTTAGGAATAAAAAGACATGAACAAGGCTTCTTCTCGACTCAAAATTCATGTTCATTAAAAAGATCTTAGTTTATGAACTATAGAAACGTATAGTTATTTAAAGTTTTCAGAGATGATTCAAAATACCTCAACATTTCCCAGACTTATTTTCAGCTCATCAAATAATAACATATCTATTTGTTTTCATTATCCTTTACCTCATCACCAATTCACGAAAACATATACCAAAAACAGAAGGGCAGTAAGGCACTCTTCTTGCCATTTTGAAAAAACCTTCATAACATTTACAACTCTCTCATATCCACTGGTTTTACTAAACTATCGATTCCATTCCATTAAAAACCGTCTCTGCAATGCATGCTTGCAGAGTTTTAGATTTGCCTATTTATCTGTGCTTTTCTTAGTCCTTAGAGGCTCCTAGTTGCTAAAATTTAGTTTACATCAGAATAGACGTTTAGACAACACTGATTGTCCAAAATTATCTTAAGTTGGGTCTTGCAAGGATTTTGATTTCAAGAGCAATAAGTAAAAGAACTGTAGAAAATGATTGAAAATTTGATTTCAATCTGTATGATCAGAGCTTGAATGTCATAAATCGGAAGTGCCCCATAAGTAAGCATTGATTCCTTCAGAGAATAATGGACATCGATGAAACAAAGCTCACAGTTGTGCACCCTGAGTGTAGTGTCAAATCTAAACACTATAACTGAACAAGAATCTGTTATCTCTCCTGTAACTCAGAAAAGTTTTTCAAATCTCTTTAATTATATCACCTGCTGAGACAAGCGTTTGTATTCTGGTAGTTTCATCTTTCAGTCTCCTCCAGGAGGTATTCATTAATGTTATCAGAATTTTAGTATGAGACTTCCATCCATGGCATTCCCTTCAAAATCGCTTTGCAAGAACTTCAGTACCTAAAATCAAAATATCACTCTTTGCTATAGATTGATTTTGGAAATTTTCAGAAGAAATTTTTTGGAAAAAATGTTTCAGTGCAGCTAAACATAATGTTAGTCCCAAAAAAACATGTGTACTTTGGCGCAAGATCCTAGAATTGAAATGACAAAAACAGGCTTCAGTAAATTAATTTATTTATCTTAACCTCAGTCAAAGACAGGTTCTGATGAAAAAAAAAATGAAATTAGAAGTACAAGAGACACAAAAAAAGACTGAAATATTGCTATTGCTCTGAGGTTAACGGTAACTGCAGAGATTTTCATACTTGATGCTTGTTGCCCTATTTTTCTACCCTTATTTTACATTTTGATAATTCAAACCTAAAACTTGAAATTTGCAATTGAAGGATGGGATTTGGATAATTGAGACCCATCAATAGGCCACTAGGCAAGGTTTGAACTTGAAGAAAAGTCGCCTGTTTTTGACTCAAAATCTTAAGTAGAACAAGACCACAAACACACATTCTCACAAAGGAAGTTCAGAAACCAACTCCAGAGCAAGAGGATAGTAACAAGTGTCTTAACTTTAATCAGATGCACCTGAGATTATTCAAACAACGCATTTGTATTTGTGCCGTGTAACTAATGTTCATCGTAATGACGTTGTATAGGAATTCATTTCCAGACTTGCTGTTCTCTGATTCGTTTTCCTAGTGGAATTCTTGAAGAGGAAACATGTTGCATCGCGCTTTAAATCTTATTTATACAATGACTAAAAATATTTGTTAAATTTTTATTTACAGACAGTTACGCGTTTGTGTTAATTTTAATTATTCACAACATTTTTTAATATTGTGGATGAAGATAAATCTTTCTACACAGTGAACTTTTAAAACAATGGGTACACCCAGTTGTCAATTTTATAAATATAAACTTTAGGTTCTAAGGTGGGTACAAGTAAGAGCTTAGAGTTTATATACATTTATAATTGACCACTCGGTGTACCCATTTTTTGAACATTTTCAATATGTTTAATATGTTCTCTGTGAAATTTTGATGAGAAAACATGCGCTGGAGTGCCTAATATCTCATCTGGTGTAGTTGTCCATCTAGCTAACTGCGAGTGTGGACTTCTGAAATAATATTTCATGTCAGATTTATTCATTTATCTTAACCGACCTCTATCAGATAGGGGTTCAATTACATAGCTGCAGCATTCAATAATTTTAAAATGTTTCGTTGGCAAATTTAAATTTTGAAAGTGCATGATTTTCATTCGATTTTTCTCTTACAGTAGTGTTGCAGATAATGCGGAATTCCACAAACAGTCCAATGATGGAGACACCCCGTTCCTGTACTGTGTTCTATCCTTTGCACCAGAAAAAGTAAGTGATCTTTTCTTTAAGAGTTTTTTTTTGTAGTTTTTCTTTTCCTTTTCCATCCAGTGGAAAAATAGATAAAGGGATTAGATACCCAGAAGTGAAGAGGCAATTCATCGCTCAAATAAATATGGGACGAAAACTATTAGATGAGATCTAATAAAACAAAGCTTGACCTCAATCACATATTTTAAATGAAGTAGGAATAGTTGAATGCCTGAAATATAATTTTTATCAATAATTTTGCATTCCAAAATATTTTTGATAGCAGTATTTTTTCATCCTGAATTATCTTTGCTGTAGTTATTGCAGCATTTAGGAGATAGAGCAGCATTAAAGAGATAGGAGAAAAATGGAGCGATTCTATTGGTGGAAGTGGGTGGTTGGAATGAACAAAGGAGTTAAGTAAAGGACTGACTTACAGCAACTGGCAACCGAGAACCCCCCGATTTAACCAATCGGATCGCTTTATTTTCCCATTGTCTTCATTGTCTATCAATTTCAATTATCAGCTTACTGGAGGTTTCACTAGTCATTCTTTGGAATACAGAGTTTTTTTGCTAGAAAATCAATGTTTGATTTTTCGACTTGCAGGCTGATATTTGAAATCGATAGATAAAGCTTTTGACAAAGAAAACTAAGACAAAGCCATAGACCAAGAACACAAAGACTAAGCTATAGACTAAGAACACAAAAGGAATATGGAGGGATCCTATTGATGGAAGTGGTTGGTTGCAATGAACAAAGAAGGTAGGTAATACATAGACTAAATAATGGCAACCCTTGAGAGACCCTGTAAATAGTACATCATTTTCTTCCACAGTCTATAGGAACCAACCATTTCAACCAATAGGATCGTTCCATATTCCCTAAGTCTTCTTTGCCTATTGCTTTGTCCATCAATTTCAACAATCAGCCCGCTGACTTGACAAAAATCATACTATTGATTTTGCGTCCACGGACTAAGATCATTATTTCCTGTGACCTCCAGACACTTATATTAGAGTTTGTCCCTCCGTTTTACAAAATATCTTTGCAGTGTTGTAATCTGAATGAAATCTTCAGAAACAAATAATTCCTCGTGTATTTCTCTCCAGCTGTATAATTTTTCTCTGTAAACTTTTGTTCTGTCTTATTTCCAGCCGTTATCGTGTCCTCCATCCACAATATTTTTTAATTCCTCAAAACATGGAAAGTTGCTCATCCGTGGTGATTCAGAAGGTTGTGTAGCTGTCTGGTCAGTTCCTGACATAAACGATGCTCAACTAATTCAGAGTAAACAGGAAAATACTCTCAAACCTCAAGGTATGTTTACTTTTTTTTTTAATTTCCTCTCTTCGTTTATTTATCCTCCTGTAACCTCCAAAAAATATTCCCTCATTTTTGTATTTTCATCCAATGGTGGCTGACCTCTCATATCTGATAATATGAAGTGCTGCAGGCCAATTATTGAAATTGATAGACAAAGAAAGCAAAGGGAAAATAGAGCAATCCTATGAGTTGAAACGGGTGATTGTTATAGACCAAGGAGAAAATGATGAACTAACTGAAGGGTCTTGGTTGCCGTTACCTCCTATGTCTGTTGCATCCACCTGCTTCCAACAGTAAAATCGATTCATTTTCTTGTCTTCTTTGTCTACCGCTTTGTCAATCAATTTCAATACATAGTCCGCAGGTCTCATGGAGCTAGAAAGTACATTGAGCACTGCGTTTTTTCCTCCTAAATGATGCACTGCTTCTGGAATCAGAATTCGAGTCTTTTGTCTACATTGATTTGATTGTAACCTTTTTCATTACCCTAATTCTTGTCTATTAATTGAAAAACAGCCTCAATGGAAGAAATTCTACTATTTCTCTTTGAATTCAGTTTAGGCAAATGACTGTGGAGACCAAATGAAAATTCAAGATGTACTCTTAATTCATTTCTCTCGATCATCGATTTTGGTTTTTGTTTTCAGAAAAAAGTCCATTTTACGTTACTAGTCTTACATCTCAATGGTTGGCAATGAAACCTCCTCCTGTTGGAATTCTGGATCAGCTCGTAAGATTTTAGTTTTACAGATTTTTCTCGTTCTCGTTTTTATGTGCATATCAATAAAATGTTAGCAATTTCAGAAATTAAAGTAAGAAAATGATGACCTTGGTGTCAAAGTGGCAATTAATAAGTCTCGAGCCTTACAAAAGTTGGTTGAATGGACTGAGTATGTAATTGCACGTAAGAAATTAATGGTATTTATTGCAATGAAATGCTTAAGATGGAAGCACCAAGTGAATTTAGCTTCCAGGATTTTTTTCAGATTTATCTAACCCTAAATGCCAAAGAAAATCTATTTTGAAACGATATTCTTGGCAGGCTCTGATGAGGCAGCCAGTCAGAGAGGATGACATTTGCTGATTGGCTGAACTCAGTTTCAAGCAGTGCCTGCCTTGCTCTGTTAACTTGACTGTTTGCTTTCGATTGGTCGGATTTTAATTAGCTTTTTCTCTCGTGAAGAGGGTTTTCTCGAACTTCTTAATGAACATCTTTTCATATAGAGTTTTCACGAAATTGTACGCAAGAAAATCTATACCACAACCCTGCAAAAATTCCTTGCCATTGCCCCATTCTGATTCATTCTCCTGGTACAAGAAGGTCAAGTACATGACCTATCTCAACATTATTCATCTGTCAGGTCAATTGAGCATTCTGGAATGGAGAATGGAATCGATTATTTCAATAATTGCAATGCTGTGATTCAAGTGATAGCACCTGCTTCATGGGGAAAATGTTCTCTACTATTAATCTTCAGAATGCCATTTGGAAAATAAACTGCCATGTGTTATTTTATCTTGGGCGACTTGTTTTTAAAGTTTTGAATATTTATGACTTAAGGTGATTTTGGATTCTCTCTTTAAATGAAAGGATTAGTTTGAGTGAATTGACACCGGTTTTCAGAGGTCTTATTCTTATGGTGCATTCAGCATATGCGCAAGGGTTGCCACGCAAAATTTCATGAGTTTTAAGCAGGTATTCATTTATTTATTTATTTCTTTATTTTATTTCTTTATTTTTTATTTATCTTTTTATTTATTCATTGATCTATCTATTCAAGCAAGTAATGAGCAAGATCTGGGATTTTTTAAAGGAAAATTGAAACAATTTTGAAAGAAATTGCTAAGTGGTAGTTTTTCTCAAATCAAGATCAGGCGAGGATGGCTGGCAACTTCCAGAGTGCTCTGAAAATGTCACTTCTAAAACTGTTCGAGATTATGTTATTGAGTGGCATGTTGGCAAAGTAAGCCAAATGGTAATTTCCTTTTCTTCATTTCAGCCTGGTATTAAACTGACGGCTAGTATTTACCTGCCCCAACAAAGTCGTTTAGTTGTTGGCCGAGAAGACGGTTCAATTGTAATTGTTCCTGCTACACAAACTGTCATGTTACAACTTCTCCATGGAACCCATCAGCAGTACGATGGTAAGTTTTTACATCATCCTTTGGCAAAGTTTCTTCTTATTTTCTTTTCCTTCAATTTTTTCGGCCTAAGACAACATCTTCTACCTAACACCTAATATTGATTTCAGTAATTTTTTGTATCTGACAGGAAAGTGGAATCAATTCAATGGTGTTAGGATTTCCAGGTTTTGAAACTACATGTACGAAACAATAAGAAGTTCTAGCGTATTGATTATTCAGCAGAATTGGACAATGGGTCAGTTGCGCTGTTCACAGAATCGTGATGCTTGAATCTTGTAGATTAGCTAAAACTTAAAAGATTTGTCCAAACAGCAACTTTCTATGTTCAATATTAACCAACCGTTAATGACGGTTAATGACGGTTAATGAAACGGTTAATGACGGTTGCCTAATTTCGATATTTATTATTGCTGTTGGAATTTCATCTCTTCCTGTCCAATTTTCTCATGATTTTTCTTAACTTTTGTCATAGATTGGCCACCTCATCAGTTGTTACTTGGACACGGAGGTCGAGTAAATTGTCTCTTGTACCCACATCACGTTCATTCTCGATATGATAAAACCCACCTTTTATCTGGTGGCGTTGACTTCGCTGTTTGCCTATGGGACCTTTATGCAGGGACCCTTCTTCACCGTTTCTGTGTCCATGCTGGTGAAATAACACAATTGTTGATTCCACCCAATAATTGCAGTGTAAGTTCAGTTTTATATTTCAGGGGGTTAACACACCTTAAATTAATCATCCATTAATCTTAGTGTCTTTTTTAATAATGGATGTACTTCTTTTCCACCTTTAATTTTTGTAATAATAAGTAACTATCATGTTGTTACTTTCACTATACATACTTTATTCATAATTTAAGTTAATTGTTTATATTTCTGTATCGAAAGCTAACAATAAATCAACTATTTAAAAAAAAAATAATAAAATAAAAAGGGGGTTCACGAAGAAGCTAGAATGGGTGGAAGCAAATGTTCTTTGATCTATCGATCTTTTTGCCCAGTTGTGCATTTTCTTATTGTTTATTACTTTTATTATTGGAGATCGAATCACGTGCTGGCTTATTAGCAATTGTAGAGTCTCTGGGGAAAAAATTGTATGTAATTCTTTGCAATTATTTTCCCCATGTTAGGTTTCCAGCTTGAACATTTACTTAGACCTTTCTAAACTCAGAAAAAAAAAGAGAAAAAAAGAAGTTTACTATGTGATGACTTTTTGAATTCTTTAACAAAAAAAAATGAAAATGTAACTAAAACTGATAAAAACAAAGATAGACTCCGATTTGGTATTTTTCATATGTTTTTGGGTTCTCTCTTTTTCAGCCTCGTGTAACGAAATGCATTTGCTCTGTAGCAAGTGATCACTCGGTGACTCTCTTAAGTTTAACAGAAAGAAAATGTGTAGTCCTTGCTTCCAGACACTTGTTTCCTGTTATCACAATTAAATGGCGACCTTTAGATGACTTCATGATTGTGGGCTGTTCAGATGGCACTGTTTATGTTTGGCAAATGGAAACAGGTACTAATTCTTTCTCATCTGCTAGACAGTGATGAGCAATTTTAAACTTTTGCTTTTTCTCAATAAAGGGTCTTCCATTAAGTACATAACCATCAGGGAGAGGGGTTACACCAATTGTTTTTATGTTCCGAAGGATAGGGACCTATTCCCAAAATTGTTTTAAGTGGGGGAGAAGGTGTTAAAAATCCTAAGTTTAACATTACATACATATTTTATGAGCGGCCTCCAAGTTCTACAAAATTGCCTCGCAAATTTTTATTCAATCAAAGAAAAGATTATCAGAGTTTTTAACAATTTCGTTTGTTTCATGCATAGAAGCAGGAAGTCCTCAAATGTGTTGGTTTTTTTTTTTTTTTTTTTTTTTGACTCAGCATTTTTATTGTAGCTTAAGTCCTAAGTTCTCCAAAAATTTTTGCAAAATTTGCCCAGATTAGGTGCATTTAGCTCCAAATCCTCTTCTAAGCCCTTGTAATTAAACAGAGCTTCTGATTATTGATACTCTTTTCCTCCGCATTACATTCAAATATTTATTAATGAATATCTTGTGTTTTCCATCAGGTCACTTGGACAGAGTTTTACACGGAATAAGCGCAGAAGATGTTCTGTATGCCTGTGATGAAAATACATCCACCTCTGGCTCTGTAGAATCAGGGCTAGCCAATCCTGCTGTTCACTTTTTACGAGGACTTCGCCATCGTAATATATCAGCGATTCGACATGCTACCCAGGTACACTTCCATTCAGAGTAGTTAAAATAAAAATTGATCATTTATTTTGTAACTTAATCAATAGAGTATGTAAATTTTTTGCAACTGCATGCCCAAATCTTTGTCTGATTCTCACGACCTTTCCGAGCTTGGGGGTGGAAAAGTCAGGAGGCTGTGCTACACCGATGATGGGTCCAATAAGACCCAAAAAGCATCCGTAGCTGCTCACCTGATCGATTGTATCTAGTGTCACACCAATTATGTTTGGATGAGCTTTTTCCTTCTGTAATGAGACTTTCAGTCGTACTTTGAATTTTTCGTACGTTGGCATAACCAAATCCGTCTAAATGACTTGTGCATCAAACCGCAACCTATTCGTAGTCTTTTTTTTTTTTTTTTTGTATGAAAACTATCTTCGTCCATATTGTCCAGTAAAAGAAATCAATGAAATGTATTGATGGAAATCAAATTTTTGCGCAAATTTTTTTCAGAGGGGTCTACACCAACTGCAACAGTTGCATCACTCTACTCACCGTGATGGTATGGAGCAGCATAAGTCAAGAGCCTCACCACTTATGATTCAAGGTTTGAGAACAAATCCTAAAGATCCTGAAAGCCACATCTTGTGTTTTGACATCGAAGCCTTAATTGGTAAGAAGAACGATTTGAGTAATTTTATTTATTTTATTTCTTAGTTGACTGATGATATCGGGTTATCCGTAACTTTATGCTCCATTTACGCTGAATTTCTGAAAAAACTTCCTACAAATCTTACAAAATGCTACCTGGAAAAGGGCATAATATAGTTGTGCAAGTTTTTCTGAGCTTGAAAGAAAAATTCAGAATTATTTCTTTTATTTCGAATTTTCAACGCACGTAACAAGTGAATTAGCAATAAAGAAATTACCAGAATCTACTGAAACCATCGGAGAAAAGCTAATAGTAATTATATCAATTGCCAAAAAGCCAAAATATCCACACAAAAAATCCTCAACTATTTAAAGCTTTGAAAAAATATTGAATTTCCTTTTGTGGTTCAACACACCTGTCAAATCATATTTTGTTCTAAATTTACCCTATAGGCAGTAGTATCAGCCTTGAAATAAGGTGTCAGACATATGGCTCCGCTCTTTAAAGTTTAACTTTGTTTTACTCTAAATCATGTGTTCTCAGTGCAACAATTTAAAGACCCCCAGAGTGCCAACAATGGATATCAAGAGCCCTTTCCTGATTACAAGTCACAACAATTAATCATTTAATAGTAATTCGGTTCCCATTTTTTTCTTCTTTTTTTCTTCAATGATCATAAAACTTTTACTGCATTAGACTTGAGGGGCTTCATGTTCATTTATGTCCTCAAAAATTTAAGAATCCACATCATAGTCCACACAAGTTGGATGGAAGCTCACCAACTCAATTGGTTATGATTCAGACTACGGTTTAGTTTTACAATGAATGCTTTGCTTAATTGTGTGCTAAATTGCTCATCAATCGATCGAATTGCTTTTAATTGCTTGATCAAAAGGAATTTCAAAGGTTTTTTTTTCCTTCTTTATTTTATGAAGAACTTCTGATTTGAACCCTCAATTTTGAATGTGTGTGATCAAAAATCACCTCTCTAATCGGAGGAGAGATCCAGTCGACCAATTTTAAGATCTCTTTGTAACTAAAAATTTAGCGGACCAAGGGAAGTCAGAAATAAACTTTCCCAAGTCGTTGAAAGCCTCTCAAAAATTTCAAATGTAACCTCTAATCTGTGTTTTATAAAAGCTTGATTAGATGTTGCACAATGAGCAGGTGTTGTGGCGACTATAAGGCTTCCACTTATCTATCGAAAGTAATAAAAAAATTGAAGAAAACATACGACTTCAGCAAGCTCTGCTATGAACATTTATGTGTACACTTTTTCAGCAGTTTATTACCGTATTCAAAAGAAGGAATGAAAGGAGAATTACTTGGTCCGTAACATGCAGCTGTTTCTAAGTGTTGAATCATGGATTCTGCTGTTGCGATTTAAGGACAAATATTGTTCCAACTCTCTTAAATTTCAAAATATATTTCTCTTTACTTATAAATCTCTCTTCTTTTTATTTAATCGATGGTTTGCTCAGCAATGCATTTGTAATTGAAGCTATGTAGGTACCAACTAAGTTTGTCACTACTCAAGATTTGATACTTAAAATTTATAAAACGACTTAGAAAGTCTTTTTTTCTGAGTTATTCTAGTGAGCTGTATGTTACTAGACCTTAATCAGTTTTCTACTGTTGCAAAGGACTCAACTTAAAAATGTTACAAGGTAAAAGGCAAGACGCCTTTCACTAAGGCTAAGTAGACTAAGACTAAGTAGAAAGAAAAAAAGAACTACATAACCTTATGCTGTTGTTTTGCATAAAACCACACACTTTCCATTTTTGTTGTTTTCAACTATTATTATGTTTGTTTTGCTTTCATTAGCTCTGCAAATAAACTGAGTTTTAAGCAACTACTTGACCTGTGAGCCGAAAACGATGCTGTAAAATTTAATTGCCAACTACATAGCGTTGTCACCCAAATTGCTTTAAGCTCTTTTCAAAAACACAATAAAAAGTTGAATAACAAAGAAAAGTTGTCGTTAAAGCTCACAAATTGTCTCTGAATTTTATAAAGCGTTTAAAAATTTGAAAAAACTCATGATATTAACTGTTAATGTTGCTCCATCAGTCCAACTCTTGAGTGAGGAGTACAATGCTATGTCTCCAACAACTCTTGAGGCTCAAGGCCTGATCAACACGACTGAATACCAAAAAGTAGCAGCTCTCACTCAATCTGTCTCTCCTGATGCTCACAAGAAAATAGCTGGTTAGTTTTCAACTATCTCAATGCTTAACTGTGTTGCACCAACTGCGTGTAGTGTTTGTTTAGATGTTGTGCACCAGCTTTTCCTCCGCCTGCTCCACAAAATGCCCCACGCTCCTTATCTTATTTCATTGATCTTTATTCATCATTAGTAGTCGAGATGAACCTCAAATTCAAAATTATTCTCTTTCTAAAGAGTGATGTTGGTCAGAAAATTCAATTTTTTCTATTTTTTAAAGTGAAAATTTTACTGTTTCTCAATTCACTTAACCTGCCAATCACTCTTGCACACCACCCTCATTGTGCTGCTCATTTTTTTTTTCTTTGTCCTTTGACAAATTTGCATGAAACTGCTTAAAAAGAAGGGGCTTTTGAATAAATGACTTTTATCAAACACCCTAATTTAGAACATTCATGAAGTCGGACTTGTTTTAAAAATTAGCTGTCCAATGGACTATTTTTGGTTTGTTTGCTATCTATTTTTTAGGCTTGATTCTGTGCTGTGGCTCTTACATTTAAGTGATGTCATAGATAATTTGAATCTAAAATCGTTTGGGCGCATAAACATCAGCATTAATTATATGATATTGTCGCTGGAGACTCAGCAGGACAAAAAAAATTGTGATAAGCTGTAAACAGCGTTTTGCATTAGAAAATTGTGTGTCTACAATTTTCAAGAAAATTTAATAAATTTGACCTTTATTTCTGAAAGGGCTGCAAATCGACCTTGTAAGTCGGCAATCACATATCTTGTTTGGGGTGTCTGAAAATTTCCGCCTCTATGTTATTTCCTTAAAGGAGAACAAATTGATATCATTCCTTGAAGTTTTTGCAGAATTTTCTTCTCACAGAGAAGATAGATCGCGGCAGTTTTATAAAATTGCCGTTGAGTAGTTTCATGTTTAAAAAATAAAGTATGACAGGAAGTCTGAGACGTCGCAAACCGAGTTATGTGATTGCTGACTTACACGGTTGAAACAGTTCATCACTTCAAAAAGATCTGAAAGAAATGCATCTTAGAAAAATCTTCATATATCAAAGCATTGGAGCTTTAAATAAAAAATTTTAAGGTTTGAATGTAATGAACAGTGTTTTTGTTTAGGCTGTTATTCAATAAAAGTATATGGTCTGTAAAGGGTCAATTGCACTGGTCATAGAATTGCGTTTAGATGATTTAAGCTTGTAGAGAAGCAAAAAATAATCAGATCTGTCCAACCCACAATTTTTTTACGTTCAATATCATTTGAGGTATTGCTTGTTGAAGAGCTCCACTAGAAATTTTAGTTCCTAAATGCAAAATGAAGTCCAGTTGATGAAACCAAGATGGAAAAAAGCATGTTATGCCCTACAGCAATAGATGACACCATACACCGTGTTATTCGATAGGCGGAAACTCGGTTAATATTGGACATAGAAGTTAGTTAGGTGTTTTGACGGATCTAGTCAATTTTTGCCAATCTATAAGCTCAAACCATCAAAGTACAACGCTGTTACTAGCACAACAGACCCATCGTTGTGTGAGCATAACTTGAGACGAAACGTTTTCCATCAAAGAGTCTCTTTCATTCCAGTCTGAAAATAAATGCAAAAGCTATTTTGCCCTCTCGTATTTTGCATCCTTTTAGTCATACTCAAGCAAGATACAAAAAACTGTGTTTACAGGAAGAAGTTTGGTGTCAATTTTCTTTGCTTTTCGGATCCTCTCTGATTTCTTTTGCTATCACTGCTAATAATGTCGTATTTTCCTTGCAATTTTCAATGCTTTCCGTACGGATAGATTTCTTCGGAAAAGTTAAAGATAAGGCTGAAAACATGGAAAAAATCCTGAAGGAAAAAGACAAACATGGTAATTCATCACTTTCAATTTAATATCTTACTTTATCTTGTTTTGTGCATTTCTCATCAACATTTTTCTCTCCCCCACTTAAGTTCAATTTTATTAAAGAAAATTTATATCTAGAGTTCAGCCACTGCTATATTCTGTTATGTTTTGTCCGAGCTTAGCATAACCACCCTGTTAAAAGGCAGTGGTACTATTATTTTGTTGTCCAAGCTCTACCGTTCATCTACCGTTAGTTATCATTTCATTTTATTGAACCTGTATGGGCCCTTTTGTTTTTTATTTTTCATTGTATATTTTGTTTATATTTTTATTTATTTTGTAATTTTCTTTTCTTTTATTTTATGTTTTTGTTTTAATTTTTTTTTCTTTCATACACAAATTTGTAATGTAGGAAGTCTCGCTGGTGAGCTTCAAGTGACGAGAGGCCAAGCGAATATTTATTGATGGAACAAAAAATACTTAGTGGTTATAGCTATTACTGTCATGGATTTAATACCCAAATCTGTTACACTGACCTGATAATTCCCAGGGTTCTATTAATTAGAAAAATTAAATAACATATATATCATAATATAAAATCAGTCGGAAAGGTAAATATCTAGACCTGTAACTGCCTCAAGTATTTATTTTCATCAAAAAATAATGTCCTTCATTTTAGTGATTTATGTTTCATTTTGTAAAATGTTTTTGTAAATGTTTTGTTTCATCATGTTTATAAAATGTTTCATTTACTTTTCTGCAGTTGTTCAGAAAGCATTAATTTATCTGTTTTCATCAATATTTTATTTTCATATTATCATCATTGAAAAATATAACTAATGTTGTTTTTGTATGGAGAGTTTACCATGAAGATGATATTTTTCTAACGCATCGAGACCTAATTGAAGTCCATGGCTCATTCTTCGTATTTGAAAGGAATTATCAAGAGAGATTTAGCTTTAGATTTAGCTATCGCCAAAACTTTATTTATTTTAAATGTGTTCAATATTTCAGAGGTTTTGCTCTGATTTTCAGTATCCTCCTTTGTTATCCTGTTTTCGAAGATCAATTTTGGTGGAGCCTAAAAATGTAGGTTCTTTTTTCTAAGGTTTAAGCCTGCTCAGTTTTAACACAGCCTCTGGTTAAAAGTTGCATCTTTTAGATTTTGACCTGAGGTCAAATTTTTCAGTTTCCAAATGTTCCACCAGATTAAAAAAATAAAAATTGTAAAACAATTTTCAGATATTGGAAGAAAGTTTTTGATGTTTGGCTTTGACGAAAGTTTAACATTCCTGATAGCCTCAGTTAGCTCATTTGATTTATTCTTTTTCCAGTTACCGATTCCTCATGTAGTTTTGTTGTGAGGAGGCTATTGTTTAAATTTATGAGATTCTGAGTGTAGTGCCCAAAAATGATTTTGTTTTCATTTTTAATAAATTTCATAAATTTTAATTTATAGTCAAATAATTGAGACTCTAATTTTGAACGCAAAGAAAAGTGAGGATCAGGTCATGAACCTGCAAAATTTATCACAAATTAAAAAATTTCCCGGGACCAGTACCCTTTTCTTCACCTAATCTCCCATTGAGTGCCCTTTTTGGACATTTTTAGGCAAAGTATCATAAGCGCCATTTGAGCTCTGGAGATATGTTACTGAAGATCTCCAACTTATTTCTTGTTTGACGGGCTAATTATTTTAAAAGACTTGCATAAACTTTTCAACGGAGATTCTTTCCATTATTATTATTATTCCATATTCCCTGTTATTGATACTAACCAATCTAAATAACATTTCCTATGAAGAAATAAAAATCATATATTAAGCTTTTATCTAGTTTTTGTGAAAATTTTAAGAACCAATCTAAAAAAAATTTCCTTAAAAAATTTAGAAGAGATTTTTGGCTGGAAAGGTTCTCAGGCTGAAACAAGGTTTATGATGTTTTTCAATAAAAACGTTTCAATCTGGATAGTCTGCAATATTTCATATGTACTAAGCTGCAAAATCAGTGCTTTAAGACGTTCGGCAACTCCCAATCACAAACGAAACCAATCCTGTCATAGGTCTTCGGGAAATCTTCTTTCACATCCTGTTAGCAACTTTTTATTGGACGTCCATTCCTGTAAGTGTGCAATGGGTATCCCTTCAAGAGAGAGCAAGAGACGGGTAGGTAGATGGAGGAAGATATCAGAAAGTCTTTGTTATATTTTCAGATCAAATTTTCTCTCCTTTATTGATTGGCTTTTAGTGTTTCGACAAAATCTTGCTCTTGAGTTCAATTCTAACCTCTGTAAATGATTTGCTATGTTGCAGGTATCCTAGCAAAAATGAAGGAGGGAGCTGAGCAGGTGCAGACGAAGCTGCAAGCGAAAGTTGAAGGTTTAAAATCCTCTTCTACCGACTCCAAAGGTGAGAGGAACATTCCGAAAGTTTATTTGACCCTCTTTTTCTCTCCTCTATGTCTTGCTCACAATACTGTGCTTTTTTCATCTTTTTACTCTTTCATACTGTTAAGTGAAGCCGTTTTGAATTTTATTTGGAATATAGTTAATGATGGGTATGATATTTTCAAGTTCGGGAAGTTCATCGATAACGTGGCTAGAAATTGCAATGATGATAAGCATTCAATTAGCATCTCTTACCAATGGGCGTAACGAGCTGCTCTCAGAACAGCTACCTATTCATCCTCAATTCTGACTCTTGAATAAGTGATTAAGAATAATTTGCTATTTTTAGCAGATCATGATTGAAACTGTTATTACAGCGAAAGCAAATGAAAGTAACCAAAACCATCGCAAAAATTCCTTCTGTAACCTAGCACAATTCCAATAGTGATTACATTCAATTTTTTAGGACTTGTATTGCAAAGTTTTGCAGTTTTATTCATTTATTCAAAATAAAAAAAAGGATCATGAGGTTATTTGTAGCCAAATCTGGATTTCAAATACCTTTCTTTGAATAATGATCGACAGGCCCTGCAACTGAACAGGTGTTGTTAAAAGACAAAGGTGGAAAACATAAAACAAGATTCATTTAGCGTGGTCAAGTTTGTTTCATTTTTTAAAAGCGTTCAACAATGATCTCATAAAGGAAAAAAAATCAAAAAACAAAAAAAATTCTTCGTCAGTTGTAAAAAAAAACAAATTGAATAGATCCTAGGAATTATTTACAATAAATTAATCCTAAAATTTTATATCCTATTTACAACTAGGTATCACATTTTTTCAGAGGTCCGATGGTCTCCTCTGCGACTAAGCAAACATTATTAGTTACTTCGATCGGTTTTGTAGCTCTCGGTATGTCCTGGTAAATGGACAATGCGGACGAGCATTGGACTCAGTTTAATGAAGAGCGTCGATTCTGTAACTGAAGGCGTGTCCTGGGTTATGGACGATGTCAGTTCTAATGGCTGGGACTCCGAGAGCTGGGGCAGAGTAAGCTACAGCTGGGGCGGGGTAAGCTACAGCTGGGGCGGGGTAAGCTACAGGAGCAGCAGCGTAGGACACAGGGGCAGCAGCGTAGGCCAGAGGGGCAGCAAGAGGAGCTGTGCTAGCGGGTGTTTGGAGTAGAACGGAACGCTTAGATCTGCGAGAAGCAGCGGCATGTTCAGCGAGATGGGCAGCCTTAGCAGCAGCTACCTCAGGGGTGTCAGGAATGCCACCACTGGGAGACTGTCCCCATTGTTGGGGTTGGCTCCAGCTCTGGGCCTGGGGTTGGTTCCAGCTGGTGTAGGGAGTAGCGACAGGGGCAGCTGCTTGAGGTTGGCTCCAGGGCTGAGCTTGGGGTTGGCTCCAGCTCTGAGGCTGGGGTTGGCTCCAGCTCTGAGGCTGGGGCTGAGGTTGGGTCCAGGAAGAGTAGGGAGTGGCAGCTGGAGCAGCAGGGACTCCTTCAGTCTGATACTCGGGTCTGTATGATCCATCGTCCTCTTGGCCTTGGGGCCCTGAGGCAGCGGCCTGAGCAACAGCAGCCTGAGCAGCGGCCTGAACGCGAGTGTACTCACTGAGATGGGCAGCCTTAGCGGCAGCTACATCTGGGGCATCAGCAATAGGGGCATTTTGGGCTGGAGCTTGGTGCCATTGTTGAACTGGGGCAGCTTGAGGTTGGCTCCAGCCGCTTCTAGCCTCTTGGCTCCCGGAAGTCCAAGGCTGGGTCCACTGTTGTGCTGGGACAGCCTGAGGCGGAGACCACTGTTGAGCTGGGGCTGAGTTCCATGATGGCTGAGCTGAGGCCTGCGCCGGGTTCCATGATCTCTGCTGAGCTGAGGCGGAGTTCTGTCTGGCATGTTCGGCAAAGTGGGCTGCCTTGGCAGCAACAACCTCTGGGGTCTCTTGTAAGTGACCGGTTGGTGTAACAACGGGAGAAGCTAATGGTCCGTTCCAGTGAGCCTGGCGTCTTCTACGGTGAAGGGCTGGGAGAGGGGCAGCAGGCGCTACAGGCAAGTCGTTGGACACCACACGGTAGCCAGCTCCATCAGCGACGTAGTTGGTCTGATGGACTGCTCCATGTGGGTCGACATAGCTGAAGCTTCCAATCTTGTTACCGTGAGCATCCTGAAACATAGGCAAAGAAAAGGCTTTAAAAGATTGAAGATGCGTTCAGAGTTGGAGTAGATCCCTTCTAGAAGTTGTACGCATCAAAGAAAGGAAAATTTGAAACATTTTACCATAACATTTCACACATATGCTTTGTGGTTTAGAAAAGTGCAAATTAGCAGCTCAACAAATCGATGAAGGAAGTTGATGAAGCTCCTGAGCTATAGTTCAAATTGCAAGATTGTAATGATCATCCTATCGCAGATGAAATCTCTTAATTCATGCTTTGTCCATGCGATGACACTGAGGAAATATGTCCCTGATTTTTCTGCTCAGTTTCTGAAGTTTTGTGATCTCCTATTTGAATTTTTGATTGCTCTTCATTCTAAGGGTTTAAAATTAATTACTATAGAGTGAGGATCGCAATCTCAATTAAACTCTTTCATCAATGAAAAATACTCCTCAAGAAGTTAAATTTGTACACAACTGTTGAGTTCAATTGAGGGGCTTGGAGGACCATAAGGCGCATAATTGCAGTTTTCGAAAAATTTGAAATATAACCGATTTCAAGTAAAACTAGTCTTAATGCATATTCTGTAAAAAAAATTCACTAGCAAATTCCAATTTTTAAGCATCAAAAAAGTCAGTTTGAACTTTCTTGCCACCATAAGGGTCAATGTAATTTCAAAACTTCAAACGTGTATTTCTCGAAATAGCAAAAACTGCATTCATGCGCTTCATCCTCCAAGCCCCTCAATTTTTGTATTGCTAAAATATCGAAACTTCAATACACTCTTGACAGTTGTAATTCTCGTTTTCACTCAGTCTAATGTGATTGCAATAGTTTTACAACGCTTCTTTTTCTCAGAGTATCCAAAGGTCAAAAGTTGCTGTAGCTATTTCTGAATATCGACGGTGAAACTACCAAACCACGTATCTCGTTTGCGGTGTTTAAAAATCTACGCTTGCATTTTATTTTTTTGAAGTCGACCAAATCAATATCATTCCTTGAAATTTTCACAGAATTTTCTCTGCCTAAAGAGGAAAAATCACAGAAATTTTCCAGACTAGACGTTAAGTAGTTTTTATTTAAAAAATAAAGTATGACAGGAAGTCTGCGACGTCGCAAACCGAGATACGTGGTTTGGTAGTTTCACCGTCGATATTTGAATCTCAACAATACTTCAGGTGGGATAAAAAATTAATCGGAAGTTATTTTGTCTTATGCGATTGACGGACTTATGAATTCTTACCTGAACAGCTGTGTGAGCCTGGAGGGGTTCAGAATGGCCGTATTTGGCTTGGCCGAGCTCATCTTGGGAGTGGTATTGGGTTTTAGTCGCAGCAGCCACTGGGGCAATGGGAGCAATCCGGGCAATTGGGGCAATAGGGGCAATAGGGGCGGCGAGGGGAGCAGTAGAGATGGCGGGCGCACCGAAGGCGTACGGGTAAGGGGCGGCAAAGCTGCTGTAGGCCGTCAATGGTGAAATGGCCGAGTAAGCATAGCCGATGCTTGGCGGGTAAGCCAAGCAACTTGCTAAGACTGCGCTCAATACTACCTGCAGAACACCAAAAAGAAACTTATTAGGTGCACGATAAAGGAGAGGTATATGATGAAGAGATAGACAAAAAATGAGGTTATCATAGCTGATCGATGAATCCGAACTTAAGAGTAATCCAGTTTCCGCTTTAAGATGATTTTCGTCCAATTTCTTTAATACGAAATGCTCTGGGCAGGGGAGGAGGGGAGGTTAAAAAAATACTTAAGTGGAAAGCTGAAAATAGTAACCGCAGAGTATCGCACGGGATTATGCAGAGATTATTTTTAAAAATAGTTATTCGGAATATTGAGTCCTTTTATCGATTGTTTTTCGTACGCGACGATAAAACGCCTTCAAACCGGTGGAATACAACCCTAGAAACACGAACTTTTCCGGTAGCGGAACACGATCTCGCGGCCGTGAATAATCTACTGGATCATGCGTGAAGTATTCGAAAACGTCCAATCGTACGAATAATTAAACCGTCTTGACAAAAAAAATTTAATAATCTAATTTAATTTTTTTTTAATTTGAAAATTTTGCACGCGGTCCTACTTTTTCTTTTTTAAAATTGACACAAAGTGCTTCTCACGTCACTTCAGTTAACATAGCTTCTATCATTCACAGATTTTACGGAATGAAATGTCCCCTCCCTCCTAAGCACTGTTCATGACAATGTTTCAGACAATTTTTTTCTGAGAGAGATTTTAAGAGGGGGGGGGGGTTGTAAAGAAAATTCTAGGGTACGAAGTATTCTTGCAATGCCTCAAACCATTGATAGCTATAGATTTTTTCGACTGTGTTGTGTTCAATCTGTTCAAAAAGTACTACGTTTGTAATGGAGCGGGGGAAATATTCTTCGATGTAGAGCGCGCGTCCGTTTTATTTTTAATGGAACCTCTCGTCGGAATTCATTCGTTGGTGGTCAAGTTAAAAAATAGATCGGTTTTTGAAGATAAACGTGACGTAACAGACGGACTTAATTTCATATCCCCTCGCCACCGACGAGTTGCCAACTCTGAAAAGACAAAAATTAAAAAAAACAAATAAATAAAGAGGAGATGGCTTGCCGTTTTTGAAAGTCAAAAACTGATAGGAAAACTGTTCCACATAACTTCTCTCTTAAGAGGAACCTTTTTGATAGGTAAGATTCAAATGAAATTTTACTCGAATGATCCTTGGGCACGATCGATTAATTTCAAATTTTAACGAAATAGGTTAATCATTTTGGAAAAATTGAAGTTTCAATCTCTAGATCAATCATTAAAGAGTGTTCATGCCGGAAATCATCTTCCAAAATCTTGAAAGAAAGTCAAATTTACTGTCTCCAACCAACCGATGCATTGATATCGATTGCAAATTGAAAACAGCACTATTGACTTCATTCCAAGATTTTAAAAGTTTCCCTATGCACATAAGCGTTTTTACGGATTAGCCGGAAATTTTAGTTCTTAATTGTAAAATTTAGCTCCATTAGATATCACCAATGAATTCAGCGATGAATAACCCAGAATCTCACAAAATTCATCAAAACTAATGAAGGAAGGATTCAAAGAGAACTGAAGTGACGCGCAACTTTCAAAATTACTAATATTATCCTTAAAAAGACTTCATAGTGAGCGAGAAACCGGAAACTAACGCTCGGTAAAACTTTCGGAAGAAATCATCGATAATACCATCGAACCATCGAATTTACCAAAGATCGATTATCAAATCGAAATTCTAACTTCGATTAATCGATTATCGTCATCGAAATCGGAACGAATCTATGCTCAACCGGTCGCGTGTATGAGCGAAACTGTCTCGAACGATAACCGAGGTCACGTTCGGGATCACACTGCACAAAAAATCTATAGATCGACGATCAAAATCGAGTAATCGCACAGAAAAGTTTTCAGTCACCGCGGGGAAACTTAAAACTTTAAATTTAAAAAAAATAAATAGAAAAAACACTTCACGATGATTCATAATTCGCCCGCCTTCTGGAGTGTCACCAAACTTATCGGTGGCGTGTGGAAAATCTGCAGGCTGATTATTGGGATCGATGGACAAAGCGATAGACAAAGGAGGAAGAAGCCGCGAGTTGGAACTTACCAGGACTTTCATGATGCCGCCGCACTTGAGACTCAACTGTGACGGCGCAAAGTCCCTGGCAGCGTTTTATAGTGGTTTCACCAAGGCCTGTCTGTGTTCTTCCTAAATTGGGTGGGGCATTTTTTCCAAAACCCTCGAGAGTGAAGGCGCGTCGCCGACTGAAGCCCGCTTTGTCCTGTGTCTAAAGTTATTGCACCAGCTTTCGCACCAGCGCCCAGCTCCCGGACGAAAATACTGGTCGTTTCGAAAATAATTCGCCCACCCTCCGTGCTGTGTCCCGAAATGGAAAATTTCATGGAAAATGAAAATCTGAAATTTCACGTGCGATTTGATGAAATTTTTCTGTGAAATTGTAGACACTTTTTGAAATTGCATTGAAATTTAAGGCTATTTCATACGAAATTTCAAACCTTTTTTGACAGCTCCCGGACGAAAATACGGGTCGTTTCGAAAATAATTCGCCTGCCCTCCGTGCTGTGTCCCGAAATGGAAAATTTCTTGGAAAATGAAAATCTGAAATTTCACGTGCGATTTGATGAAATTTTTCCGTGAAATTTTAGACACCTCTTGAAATTGCATTGAAATATTAGGCTATTTCACATGAAATTTCATCGCATTTTCAAGTGAAAAATTACGTTAAATTTCAAGGGCAATCTCAGGCTGTGTCCAAACTTATCGCACGCAGAGATGGAAAGTGAAATCTCACGTTTTGAAATTTCAAAAGGCTCAAATTAATTTCAGAAATTTTGAAATTGGTTAATTTTTTCGGAATTATTAATTAAAGCTTCGAAAGTCCGGAAAGTGTTTCAGTCCTATCGATGCGGCAGCATATGCAGCCCTAATGAGGTGCTATACACCGGGAGGGGGGGGGGAGGCAAAGGGGAGTTTAGAGAGAAATTTAGCCCCGGCCTACCTCCAAACCAAACGATAAAATTTGCTACGCCCGATTGTTTTAGGATTGGGGTGAAAAATAGCAAAATTGAGAACCACTGTTCTCAGGCGTTTCTTAAAATTTTCCATCTCTGATAGCACGGTTTCCGGCCATAGTTACGGAATTAAATGTCAGAGAATTAAAGCCAGATAAAAGGAAATTTCACGGGATGAACATTCATTTTGCTGAAAAGTGAAATTCCATTTTTTATGAAATTTCAATGATTTTTCAGTGGCTGCATGTGCAACCCACAATTAATTATCCGAGAATTCGATAAAAAAAAAACCTCGGAATGACCCATGTTTTTTTCCTCGGAAATTTCAGAATGGACCTCTAGATAAGGTACGAATTAGGTAACGCATTCTGATACACGTTTCACATAATTTCACCTAGAACACGATTCTTGCATCGAAAATTACTGAAATCAACCCCTAACTAAGGTGTACATGTTTCATATAATTTCACGTAGAACACGATTCTTGCATCGAAAATTACTGAAATCAACCCCTAACTAAGGTATTAACGTTTTTATTTTACATCGTTACGGGAATTTTGAATTGCCCGGTCACAAGAAACGCAATTCTCTACGTGAGTCAAATCGCGCCTCTCAGCAGTTTTGGCAGGCTTCTCCATCGAGCATTGCTCTTTTCCCATACCCTGTATCGTTCATAGTGTAAACAATTTACTGTAGCTGAGCCAAAGCATCAAGATTGAGGTTGCCAGATTTTCATATTGCAGAGATTGTCTTGGTAAAGTTTAGCGTGCGATCTGACTCACTTAGACTATTGTGTTTTTATGAGCGAGAGGCTTGAATTCACGCGTCAAGAAACATCAAATATCTTGGTTAGCAGTCAGCTTTTATAATTTTCGTTGCATGAATCGTGTTCTGGGTTAAATTTTGATTATGAAACATGTATCAGGATGCTTAACTTCGTATCTTGTCTAGTGGTCCATTGTGGCGTTCACAGGGAAAGGGACCGTACTTGGGTCGCGTTTAGCAGAGAGGAACCAAGCCACGTCAGCTATTGCCAAATTTAACTGGGCAAATTAACTATTTACAAGAGAGCGTTTGTGCGGATTCCTTCGAAAATAAGGCATTTTGAGATTTACTTACCTAAAATCGATATTTTCAATGGATTTAAATGGTGGAAAAACAGTGGCGTGAACATGCAAAGTCGCCAGTGCCCCCATGTGAGGGTCGCTAAAGAAGTTATCGATCGAGACATGTAAAGTGTTCAGCGCTAGAGACTTTAACGCGAAATAGAAAAGTAAGAACATTTTTTAAATAAACCCTCGCCACTGCTTCACAAATCCGCTTCAGTAACCGTCGAATACATAACTTGAATAAAAATACAATAAAATTTCCGTATGTATTCTGGGCATTTGACCCGCCGTTTCATGTTGACTTTCCCGAGTTGCGAGTCTCTAGGAAAAAATTTCACCCATTTTGACGTGCCTGTCAGCGTGAATAAATTGATGTATATCGCTTTTCTGTATGTATGATGTAACACCGGTACGCAAAAATCAGTATGATTTCGGACAGAAATTGAGGAATTGTATGAGAATTGGGGTTTTTTCTTGAAAAAAAGAGTATTTTTTCAGTCGATTTTGCATTCCATGAACGGCGTAACGTTTTCTCATCTAAAAACCGACGATATATTTATATCTATTCTCTCTGTTTTTGGGAAAGGGCATGGATCTTTCGAGAACCTCCTCGAAAGTTACAGAGGAAATGCAAGCTTTGTAAAAATGGAAAATTAGACAGGTGAACGCTCCAATCTTCGTTATTCTCGCGACTTCGTGTTTTTTTCCCCCTCTTTGTTTTCTTTTCTTTTTTGTCTGCGTGAGGGAGGCAAGCAGTTGTTTTACTTGCCGGATCAAACCGTCGAACTCGATTATTCTAATTACTTTTTTTCTTTTTTTAAACCCGCAGTGGCATCTGAAACTCGCTTTGTTTGACTGACATACTTCCTTCCTGTAATCGATGCTTCTAGAGTACTAATCTGCCATGCTAAGGAAAAACGCCGTATGAACATTCGAGAGTTGCCAAATTTCTCCGGTTAAAACATGTATTTTTGACGACATTCATGCTCATTTTTCTTTGAAATTTTTGGATATTTTAGATTAAATTTCGTACGAAATTGTCTGAAATTTTCTGGGAAAAATATTCACAATTTCCTCAGCTAATTCGGTCTTTATCGAAGGAAATTTGGAAGCCTCTGATGGCTCATACGGTGTTCTTCCTTAGCACGGCACTAATCCACTTCCGAGTCTAAATTTACTCTCCTCCGTAAATGAAAAATCAGTGAAAACTGTACACGTGGATGGGTGTGCGCGTCTACGTTGATACTTACATAAAAATGGTAACCGTTTTCATTAGACACTCAGCGCCGAGACAAAATATTTTAAAGACCCCACCCCCACACTGCTATCTTCTCCACGCTGCCGCACAGTGGATCGAGTCAATTAGAGAGGTCGGACATGAATTTGTAGACCAAAACTGCAAATTTTGATGTTTTCTTCGTCACGTTTTAAATTTTAAGGGGTGTCTCTACGAGAAAATTTCACGAAAAAACCAATGGAACCATTTTTAAAACCTAAAATATTGTTTGGACGGAGTTAAAAGGGTTTAAAGTTTCCAAATTTTGTCCGACCTCTCCTATCGACTGCCGTGCCAAGAAGAAACGTCGTATGAGCATTCGAATGTTGCCAAATTTCCTCTAGGAAAATATTTATTTCAGAGGCAAGTTATGTATATTTTTCCTTGAGATTTTCAAATGTTTCAGGTAAAAGTGCGAACAAAATTCTCTAAAAAAATCGAAGGAAAAACTCTCGCAGATTCTCCCGAAAATGTGTGTTTTGTCGAAGGAAATTTGGCAACGGCTTACGGTTCATAAGGCGTTTTTCCTTAGCACGGCAGTGTGGTGTTGACGTTAGAGCCGTTTTCATAGTCGATCCTTAGTCAGCTCCTTTCTCCAGGTAGCTTCATTTTGATAGTTAAATTATGAAACCTCGCACCTTCGTTTGCGACAGCTCAGAGTTCCTGTCACACTTTACTTTTTCTGCGGAAAACTAGTCCATGTAATTTTATGAGAACTTCCTTCCCCTCTGTCAGCAGACTATTCCGTATAAATTTCCAGCTACAAATATACAGTTGGCTTCTTTCTTTTTGAAAAAATAAAATAGGAGTGGAAATGATTGCCTCCTTTTCCTTCCCAATCGAAGCCTTTGATGCATTAACGTCAGTACATCGGTCGCACCATAGAGAAAAAAAAGGAGGTGTTTGCATTTCGGGCATCTTGGAATTTTTTGATGACTTGATGACGTAGGTGGGTACAGCGACATTTAGCGTGAAGGGGACGTCGCTGTACCCACCTACGTCATCAAGTCATCAAAAAATTCCAAGATGCCCGAAATGCAAACACCTCCCTTTTTCTCTCTATGCGGCCGCACTGCCGTGCTAAGGAAGAACGCCGTATGAACATTTGAGAGTTGCCAAATTTTCTTGAATAAAATGTTTATTTTCAAGGAAAGTTACGAATATTTTTCTTGAAAATTTTTAGGAACTTAAGGTGAAACCACGAACATAATTATATGAAAAATTGGAGGGAACATATTTACAAGTTTACCAGGAAATTCGTGTTTTATCTGAGGAAATTTGGCAACGCCTGAAAGTTCATACGGCGTTTTCCCTTAGCATGGCAGAGTACTCTGCTCGGTTTTCCGAGGGAAAATGGGTTACTCCTAATGAAAGCGAGTAAATCTCAATTAGAGTCCCTTTATACCCAGAGTTACAACAACTCGATTATCAGCTGACTGACAGCCGGCCTTGGCTGGCCATGGAGGCCGAAACGAGTGCACCCAAACGAACGATATTGAGGGATAAGGATCAGGAATCCTGCGATGTCTGTCACACAAAAACAACAACATCAACAAACTGATCAATTAAAAATAAAATGAGATTGGTTTGTGAATAATTTCTTAATCTATTTTCATTTTGGACCGATGGAAATAACAATTTACTCTTGATAAACCACAATTAGGTAATATTTTCATTATTCTTGTTCACATACGAGGTACCGCCATCTTGGTGCACTCGTTCCGGCCTCCATGAGCGAGAACCAATCAGAATTGGATTTTTTTTTAGGCCACTTTCAGCCCAACCCTATGGC